AAATTTAGAAAAATTTAAGCAGTTACAGATCTTATCTATCCCCTTATGTAAAAATGTCAGTAAGTTCTTTTTACTTGAAATATGTGGAGATAACGAACAGTATTCGAGCTCAAAAATCCATTAAACATTACAAAATAAGAGCAAACACGGACCTCTCGGACATCAGAAGTGGGATCAGGTGTCATGGAGGAGTGAGCATCCCCTGTCGACCGGTCACACCCGCCGTGTGCTTCTTGTCATGATCGGGAAATAATGGGAAAATCCGTCGACAATTCAGTATGTAAATAATGGCCTAAAAAATAGTATGAAAAAAGTCAGTCAGCGTTTGACTTAATGATAGATTGTATTTGCTGACTAGGTCATTGTATCGACCATAGAACTACAAAATGATAACTTTAAACGAGACTGCTGATATTCTTATTTCATCAACTTGTTTGTCAATAACTTACCTCGTTTTAGAAATTGTTCATACGTATAGCATACTCTGACGTATCGAATCAACTGAGAGATATAAACTCCGTATGCAGGTGATAAGGGTATATTGCTGCATAAGTAAGGGAAGTTGACGATTGAAAGTTAAAGTCATCACGTTTGTCATAAAGATTTGTTGTTTAATTACCATTAACGTCTTTTTCTAGTAAAATATCCAAATATGAAACAGATATGTCAGACTCTGTGGTATGTTTTATTTCAAGCTAACTGGGATATATCGTGTCGACATATGAATGGATATAACTATTGTTAATTGATTATACATCGTCGATATATCTAAATGTCGCGTTGAAGGCCACAGCAAGAAATTTCTTTTTCTCGTGTATAATATTTTGAATATATTCTGCTTCATATGAATACAAAAATAGGGTCTGCTAATAACAGGGCGCAATTGGTATCGATGGGAATTCCAACAGATTGTTGGAAGACCTGGTCTCCAAAAACCAAATAAATATTGTCAATCAGAAACTCAAGCATTTTTTAATATCAACTTCAGAGTGCTTGTGTGTACAATCAGAATGTGTTTTAACAAAATAAGTTTACAAATGACCAATGACAAGGTAGGTAAATTTACGAGTTCTATTTTTATTGAAAAAGCAGCTGTCAATGTCAAAAAGTCTAGACTTAATTTACCGTGAGGGATGGTTGTATAAAGATACTACTTCACGTGTTTTTTTTTTTTTTTTTTTTTTTTTTTAATTATTTGGTTGTTGGTGAGGATTTTTATTTGGCATTCTTTTTTTGATCATGATATCAGTTTTCTTGCAGTAAAATACATATAAAATAAGGAACCTATACAGTGTGCCCAGTAGTTTCCTAACCATTGCCAACTATTGCTTGCTAAACATTGCCATGAAGTATGAAGGCATCTCTTAATTGATATTGATGCATATCAAGGGGTGAGCCCATAAGTGTATTGGCATGTTGACAAGACCATATGAACTTTCATAACATTACTTGGTGGAGGTAAATGCAATATTTACTGACTCTTAAATGCAATATTTACTGACTCTGAATTTTGCGTGTACTTCCACCTTGTAAGTTCAAAATTTACAACATGATAACATGATAAAGGTGACACAAAGTGCCATTTCAAATTAATTTTCATCCCCTATAGACCTAATCACTAAATGTGAATTAGAGAAAAAATCTCTTTTCTTCAGAACAACAATACCACCTACGTACGTTATATTATTTAGGATCGGATTCTCTTGCAGTGTTGAAATTAAGTTTGAATATTTTGCAAAACCACTTCACTTTTTTATTCGAATTCATAACCCCATGGGGCCGCATATATTACAGTCCCTGAAACGTTCTACTTTCCCACTTGAACGGTGAGCGAACGCTGAACGAACGGTGAACGAACGCAGAGCGAACGGTGAGTGAACGATGTGTGAACGCTGAACGCAACTTGGTGAACGATGTGTGAACGCTGAACGGTGAGCGAACGCAGAACGCGAACGGAGCGCAAACGCGAACGCAAAGTGAACGGTGAACGAACGGTGAACGCAAGATGAAGGATATATTCGGAATGCATCTGATCTTTTCCTTGCATTGAAACTATTTTATTGTTTTATAATGTCAGTGCAAAAAAATAAATAAGTAAATAAGTAAACCAATAAATGAATGAATAAATAAGTCAATAAAATAAATTCTCCAAAATTGTCCTAAGAAAGACGATGCATGCACATTAAGTTTTTAATCACAACAATTGTTGCCGAACGCTAAAGTATAAACAAATCAGAGAAATTATAGAATGAATTAAAGCGGTTGTAACATCCATTCATATATCTCCGTGTCAGGGCGATTTCGTGTAAAGTAATGAAAAAAAATAATTACAAAGGTCAGTGGACGTTTTGCATTTATACGCTCGTATTTTGAATTTTTAATACAATAATATATTATGTGTCATTTCTATTTTTCATGATGATTTATTGAGCAGACTTCCACATGTATATGTAGATGGCCGTGGTTATACTCGGACAAGATAATACAAAGATACATATTCATATTATTTGTTATAAATTAAATTTTCAGAACTTGATATTTAAGTAATATGCTGTTATAGTTTTTATTAAACAGACAAATGAGAGAGAGAGAGAGAGAGAGAGAGAGAGAGAGATTCCGTTTTAGCCCCCCCCCCCTCCTTTCAGGCTTCACTAAATGTTTGTACCTATATCAAACAAAAACTCTTAATTTTTTTTCTAAATATATCAGACAGTGAAAGTAACTTTTTTTTTTTTTATCAACAAATCATATCCATTTGTTTGACAGTCACACTCGTTTTTATTTTCCTGCTTCAAGTTCACACGAAGTCCACGTGCTGGTCCTGTCAATCAAAATCATTCGACACTGTGCAGGTGTGAAAGTTTCGTCACATCGAAGACGAAGTGCGAGTATTTCCAACAAGTTATAACATTTATTTTTATCATTTCTAGATTTGATCCCAACATTTGAATAATAAATGAATAAAATACATTGGGCATTAACACTTGAATTTGAAACATACTCTCTGCCAATTTCAAATACCACCGCCGACACGTGTACATTTTGAACTACTTTTGTTTTGTGACTTTTTTAGATGCATGTTTGTTTTGAGACTGAAATTTTTGTTCTAAAAAAGACCTTACATTTTTTTTAAAAATGTTAATTAAAATATTCTGGAAATACAGTACTGACTAAGTAACCAATCTAGGGGGAAAATGGGGGGGGGGGTATTAATCATATCGAATGGCAAACCTGTAAAGTCACGGTGAAGAAAGAATTTTTTCTCTATAACTATAGACTTTACATATTATAGAAGAGAAAATTCTGCAGTGCAGTACATTTCAAATAAATATTTCCTTTAACCAAACTATCAATTTAATTCGCTCCAAAGATAATAAATTAACAGGATGTGCGCAGTACTATGTATAACTCTCAGAACTAGTTCTATCATATTTTCTGTAGTAACTGGGGAAAAAAGTGTTAGAAATAAATATTTTCGTAATTTTGCTGCGTGATTATTTGACTTGGATAATTATATCACCATTAACGATTTGTCGTCTTTAACAAAACAAAAAAATGTTGCAGTGCTTGATGTATTTGCACATTGCCCTAAGTTAAATTTAACATTTCAGCATCATTCTACATAGGTACAGAATGTGCTTATAACAACATTTATTTCCTAGAGTAATTTAATAAATAATCTAACAACTAAGATGGAATAATAAAAATATATATCGTAGATATTTTTCAACATGGAATAATGATTCTTCAAACACGATATGTTAGTTATTAAATTAAAAAACCTGTAACTCCTTCCCTACAAAAAGATAAGTCCTTTCACTTCGGAGTTCCGAATGACAATGAAAACTGAACGATAGGTGAACGCTGAACGCAAGGTGAACGCAAAGTGAACGGAACGAAGAGCGAACGCTGAACGCTTTGTGAACGGTGAACGCGAGCGCACGGTGAACGGTGAACGCAAAACTGTGAACGGAGAGCGAACGGTGAACGCACGGTGAACGCACGCTGAACGAACGGTGAGCGAACGGAAAAATGGGAAAGTAGAACGTTTCAGGGACTGTATAGATTACATTACCAGGGATGAGTGAGGTGAGCGTTTTGACTCTTCGTGGGCCTCTTTACTGAATTAAGATGCACTTACTGCATGTTACATGTTTTATATAAAGAAATAGGAATTCTAGGAACTTTTTTGTGAGCTAGAAGTACGTCATGCATATGAGAACGATGAAAATACCTTCTTTTTATCTGCCGCAGCAACATCTATTTGTGGTTGTGTTTTGCATGTAGAAAGTGCACATGGGGAATTGAAGCGTATTTTTTTTTCTTCTTCTTCAATTAGAATTATTTCTTATTGAGAGCATGCTTCAAAGTTATGAATAAATGATTTTAAAAATTGTAGTAATGCATTATTTTTTGTCAACTTGTCAGATATTAATGTATGATTTTACATTCTCTGTTCTTTTCTTTTTCTTCTTCTTCTTTTTTTTCGGGGGGGGGGGGGGGGGCAGAAAGTGCTCCCAGCCTGGGAGTCTGTGTTGTATAAAAGCAACTAGATACGATCACGAGTTTCCGGAAAATTAAAGTACTTGCAAAAGTTAAGATAAAAAGAAAATGATACATGTACTGATTCTTTCTTTCTTTTCTTTCTTTTTTTTTTGGAATTAGCTGTAAGTGCGAATGAAAGAACAATAATTCTAATAATTCTTGAGACTGATGAAAAGTTCCTCGTTAATTTTTCTTTTTTTTTTTTTTTTTTTTTTTTAGTTTTGTTTTTAAATTAATCAATCATTAATTAATTTATTTATCTTTTAATTTATTTTTAAATTATTATTATTTACTAATATTTCCAATTTTATCCGATTCGCAATGGCCGCTATTTAGGGTCTTTTGTGTGTTTGACATATCCAGACTTCGTACAACAAAGTAGAGCATATAATGGATGTAAAACTACATTGTTAGCGGGAAAGGGGAAAGGAGCATTTTAGATGTAGCATTTTTTTTTTTCAGATGGACACTGAGCCACTGTTTAAAGATGTCACCTACTACACTGTAGGTGACATTGATTCGAAGGTATGCATTAATTTGAGAAAATAATCATCGGGGATCTAGATATGAAAAAGAAAAGGATTAATCTCATCACTCTTTGTAGTTGAATCTGCATGTGTCTTAGGGATATATTTTTATCAGAGGAAAAATGTCTGCAGTATAGCTGCAGTCAGCAATGTAGCATATTCCATAATAGTTCGGACCTGTTTTTTATTGATTTTGGAGAATACACAAGATTCCATAACTCCTTCTGTGTCCAGCACAGGGGCTTGCTCCTGGCGTGTAATAATTATTTATTAAAAAAATCATATACGGTAATACTAACCAACACAAGGGAGGACGCCATTTTGGACCCCTTACTCGCTTCAACCTCTGTTTTCGTTATATTTTCCCACATTTTACTGACTCACCGCCTCAGATCTGTCAAGTAATGATTCTTCTAGGACATAATGCTTAAATTTTACCCTTGGAGCCTTATATAAAATGTTGCTTTTCTTTCCATTGTAATTTCATGTATAAAACAGCAACACGAGTCAAGCTACAAAGTACTGGTATATGAATTAAATGTATAAATCCGTACAAAGTTTGTTGTCATGTTTCTAATCAAAACAAATGTACCATTTTGTGGGAAATTTATGTTCTACAGATACATTTTAAGTTTTGTTATGTATTTATTGTTGCAGGTCATAGATTTGCTCAATGATGGAGGTGCCAAAAAAGACAGCTATCTTAGTGAAATGGTCAGTCATGTTATTGCAGATGACTGTACACAAAATGAGTATTCTGAGGCCAAAGAATTATTTGAACTTCCTGTGGTTACGGTAAGTAAATTTTCGCAACTTAGCAGTGAGGGCAAATAAATGAAAGGCTGAATTTTATTCCTAAATCTACTTGGAGTATGTGGAGCTTTATATTTATTTCTACCAGTGGCGTGAGAAATTATTTCTGAAAATCATGTAAAGGACTAACAAATAGAGGAAGTACATCACACAATTTGCAGTTGCAAGCAATCTTTTTAATGAAATTTCAGCTAACTAACTCTAAAGTATTTTTAATTTTTTTTTTAGCTCCAGAAAATGTCTATAATACACAAGTATTTCAAAAAGCACAGCATCAAATAAAAAAAAAATGCATTGTGTATTTTCTTTTTTCAGCTGATGTAATATGTTTGCTAATCATGGCTGTATAATTAAACCTCCTCTTTGTTTACAGAGTAGCTGGGTCAGGATGTCTGTTCTGTGTAAGAAGCAGCTAGAGTATCCTTATTTCTAATGAAATTCATTTACATGTTACATTGTAATCAATTCTAGATTTTTGAACCACTGATGAGTTTAAAATAAGAATCAATTTTCATAAGCACAATGACACCTTCATACTTATGACAAGTGTCAACAATTTACATCTAAATATATATTAGAGTCATTTTCATATCAACATGATCAATGCTCAGAGGTAAATTTAGAATGTGTATTTTTTGGGATTATGCTATTATGTTTTGATTTTATATTAAGCTGTGTGTATCTTATACATTATACCCTTGATGTGCTTCTTAATTATGCCCCTTATTAGACATTTTTATCCAGCACATTGAAATAAATATATCGTTAACAGACTGTGCCATGTGTGTAGCGAAAGTTTGTAGACATAGCCATGTATTTACACATTGTATATATTGGAAACAAAATAAAGATCTTTCCCTATTTCATTGAAACCTTATGTTCATTGTCAGTCCTTGACATAATGAAGGTTAGACCTGTTTAGTCCAGAGGATATGATCTTCAGTGGAGTGGTTGCTTGCTGTTCTCAGGTGTGTATCTTAAAAAAGGGGTGTGCATTGCTAATAAAATTTTACTTATAATGTTTTGTAATCTGCATATTCATATGCATGGTAAAGTATCGTATATACTGGAGGTAATTAATTTGTTTTAATTTTATCTTTGTCAAGTTGAGTCAAGAGGATACAAATGCACTTTGGGCCATGCTAACAACCAATGGAGGAAAGTGTCAGGGAACCCTGGATAAACACTGCACTCATTTAATAACTGGAGACAAGCAAGGGGTAAAGATGTTTGTTCTACTTTTGCATCCAGATTTTTTTTTTTAAACATTAGTCTTTCACTCTTTGTCAGTAAATCAATTGTTTTATTCTTAAATGAATTCCTTTCCATGTTTTAAAACATAATGCAGTCTTTAAAATTTTTCATATTGGTTTAATTTTTTTTTAAGGCTAAGTATGAAGAAGCACTTAAGCATGAAGGAACTATTAAGATTGTATGTCCAGACTGGGTAACAGATACATTATTAAAGAAGGAGTGCCAAGATGAAGAGCTTTACCATCCCAGTCTACTGAAGTCACCTTCAGAAATTGCCACCCCTCCTTTCACTCCCCCTCCCACCACCAGTTCTACCCCTCCAGAACCAACACCTATGGACATAGAACAACAGGAAGAACAAGCAAAACAACAAGCCAAACTAAAACTGAAGGCCCAGGCATTACAACAGCATGGAAGAATACATCAGAAACAGGATGTGGGTGTCGGCCGATCGCCAGCCAATCAGGTGATTGCTCAGCAGCTTGCTGCAGCTGTTTTAGAGAAGAGACTAGCTGCTGAAGACGGAAGTCACAAGGCCCGAATGTCTTCGTCCCCGATCACTGCTAATGCTAAACAAGCACTGGCCCAAATGGTCAGCAGTCGTATACAGGTTTGCTGGGTAGCAATGTTTGCATGCAGCATGCCTGTTCTTCATGGTCCATTGTTTATTTCTGCCTCTATTTTCTACTTTGAAAAGTGTTACTCAAAATTCAAAAGAGAAATATTTAATGATTGTGAATTGTACATTCATATATTTCTCCTGTATTGAATGAAAAATATGGATGGAGTTGAGCATAAATAATCAAATGCAAGAAAGGAAATTGTCATGTAATTCCCTGCTAAATTAATAAGCAAAGGTTGATTGCTCCTATCATTATTTACATGTATATTCCAACAAATTTCTGGTCAATCTATCAGGGATTTATTTGGCAATTTCAATAGGAATTTAAGGACTCTAAAATAGATTCATTTTAAGCTTAGCTGTGCAAGCAGCACAAGTGAGATTTTCTGATCAAAGTGTCTGTATACACATTTTTTTCAAAATTGTATGATTGTATGATGGATAGACATTTTTGACTTTTCAAAATCCTTTGATACAATTTTCAAACAAAACTGTTTCCAAAGCATCCTGGATTAAAAGGGATTCAGTCCTATGTAAAGAAGGCCATACTCTCTCAGGAAGGGGTTATGAATTACTTGTGTAGTAAGTTAAAAAATGAATTACTTGTGTAGTAAATTAGAAAAATTTGAAAATAGCATAGATCCATTAAAAATCATCAAAGTTACCAAAGAAATACATGGCAAAAGTCTTTTATGAATTTCTTTTACAGAGGAATAAATTATACAGTTAGTTTGCTCATGTAGTGAAGATTCACACATAAGTTTTCTTTGTTAGACCCAGTCAAGACATGAGAAATTTAATTCAGGTGAGCAATGTGGCCCATAGGGACTATTGTCTGATTGGTTTAAATTGATTTGAGGCAAAAAAGATCGGTGACCATATATATATTTAATTGAGTGACCCTTTGTCTCAAACACCCAGCATATTTACCAGTAATATTTTACTAATTTAGAAAAGGAAAAAGGTAGAAATCTAGAATGGAAATTGTAAAACTAGGTAAATTACAAAATCAGAATACTCTTGTAGACAAACTGTGAATATTAAAACTGCTCTACTTAAAAGGTAAAGATTTATATTAACATGAATAGAAACCTGTAGAAGTAGGAGATAAGATACTGTACATGTCAGATAAAATTTATAAACTGTTTAAGACTAGATAAATTATGAATATCTTCCCTTGTACTACTCAGTTCCTTTGCTGACAGTTCATGTGATGCCAGTTTTTAGAGGAGAGGACCATCAGGTTGTACATGTAGATGTTTTGATATAATGTGTAGGGAATGCATGGGGAGGGGGAGAGAGGGGAGTATAAAACAAAATGATACATGTATTTGATTTGTTAAAATTTCCTTTTGAGAAAGTTCTCAAATATAACTTCCTTGTTACTGACCAGTGATTCTTCAAATGAATGGCACTGACCAAATTAAAGATTTTTATGCCCCAGAATTGAAGATTTGTGGGCATATAGTTTTTTGGCTGTCTGTTCACAAAAACTTTGTGCCTTGCCATAACTTTTGAATGGTTGGTGTTACAGCTTTTTTTTCATTTCACTCATGTATTCCTTATGACAAGACTTTTCTGTAGGTACCAAGATTTTTACTTCCATGGCCTTGACCATGGAGTTAGGCCTACTTTTGGAAAAACCTTTTACTTTGCCATAACTTCTGAATGGTTTGTGCTAGGGCTTTCATACTGCTCACGATTCCTTCTGACAATTTTGATCTCTTGACTTTACAGTTTGATTAACATTGGAAAACTTTTAACCTTGACCATGAGCTACCATTTGGGGGCATCAGTGTTTCACAAACACATCTTGTTTTTTTTTAATTGTTGCAAACCTGTAACATAGAAATTTACCAATAGATTTACTAATCCAGAATGTGATTTCCTCTTCAGACAGTAACTTTCTCAATTACAACTTGTTTCAATTTGGTTGGTTATCTGTAACAATTGTGATCATATATATAATACTTTATTTTTGCAGTGTTTGAAAGAAACTAACTGGTACTGGTATTGAGGCATGAAAAAAAGAGAACTATTATCTTGTAGGAAAAAGACTAAATTTAATAGTATTTCTACGTGCTTTTTAGGGAACTAGACCAAGGCAGAAATCCCCAGGTAGGACGACCCAGCCTCATACTGCCAGATCCCCAGGGGCCATGCCACCCATTCCCCAGGTCCCTTACATGCAGATGCCACCACTGGGACTTCCATCTTTTCTACCATCTGAAATGCAGCGCATGGGCATGCCACGACCACTCAGAAACATTACCAATAGAGCAGAACTACCCCCACATATGCCAGGAATGATTCCAAGTCCAAACAAGGTCAGAATGTCTCCCTGTTAACATGGTACATGTTCATGTTGTTCAACAAAAAAAAAATATTGAAGTGAAAATGTGAAAATAAAATTTCAGTTTATGATTATTTGACAAATAGTCTGAAATAGATACTGTCTGCACAAAATCAAAATTCATGTTACATGTTTGAAATATTCTAATCCAGTACAATTCATTTCCATATGCTGGTTTAATGCCAGAATCTATATAAGAAAAATCTTTGAGCATGTGTGTATATATATATATTAATAATGAGAATGTTCTCTGTTAGATGAACCAGAGGATGACCTTTAACCCTGCCATGCCCCCTGGACATAGGCCTCCCCCACCACGTTATGTTCCTCCAACCATGAATCAGCAGAGTCAGCCCCGCCCCCCATTGTCAATGCCAGCTACCTACTGGGGTCATGACCCTTCAGATAATTGTAATTATTCAAATACCATATTTAAACAATATATTTACTACATCTTTATCAGTTTTGTTTTTTTTAAACTTTTTTGAATATCTGTATATTGATTATTATGTGGGTTTTCAGTACCACCAGAAATGTGTCTGTTGGGCTGTGTGTTCTATATCACAGACTACTTGAAGATTGTTGGACAACCACAAATTGATAACTGGAAGAAGGTAACATTAATTAGAATAATCTAACTGTGTCTCGGGATAAGCCCTTACCAGTTGGAATACGTCCCATATAGTTAAAATGTAGCAATTCGTAGCAGATCCACTCCAAAACATTTTTGAAGAATACAAAAGGAGTCACATTAAAAATAACTACCAAATTAGTCATAACAAACCTTTTTGAGCTTGTATATGTCTCTTACCCAAAAAATAAATCCATTTAAAGAAAAAATTCTACTCATTTCCGCAACAGTGTTTTCTCGCTTCGAATTTAAGTGCAATGTTGATGTTAAGAACTCTCTTGATTATTCGTAGTAAATGTGTAGATTAGAATTATCTGCCCCTGAATATTTTGCAACACTGACAACACATGGAATGAATTCTATTGTTAAACAGGGTCCGTAGGACAATTATAATTTTAACTAGGACTATAATTTCATAGGGTCTCCATAGTGATGCAAAAATATAATTTTTATTCTTAGCCTCAGCTCTAACGGTATGTAATCAAAGTTGTGTTGCTCTTGTTCATTCTTGACTTCCACTTGGGGAAATTTTCAAAATCTGTTTAATGACATAAAATACAGGAAAGTTTTCAAGATCTGTTTATTGGCATGAAACACATACAATGGATTTGTAACGTTCCTACAGGACAATATAGTGTACATGTAGTATTTAATGTGCCTTATAATGCATGATGCTTTTCTAATGATAATATACATGAACGTTACATCTTATTGAACATATATGATTTCAGCTCTTATGAGGAAAACATTTATCTTGACAGGTGATTGAACAGCATGGAGGCCAAGTTGACCCCGCCTACTCCAATCGTGTCACTCATCTTCTGTGTGCCACTCAGCATACTGATGTTTTCCATATTGTACGTAAATATTGACATATGTACTCTCAAATTTAAAACAGTAAATGTATTAGTATGTAGACATTGATACCAAAGAACATAGGTGGTAAATATGGGCTGACAAATGGATCTACATATCTGTGTTTAAACATGAAGCAGTTTTAAACTTGAGACAGAATTTGTTCATTGTCTTGAAGAAAACACTTTAAATTTGAAATATCAATTTTAAAGAAAATCCCTTTCATATTCTTAATTTTAATTTTCAAGTATCACTTTATAAGAATTTCAGAATTGATCCAGTGCCACCAAGGGAGGCCACTAAGAAGAGCCTCCTTTTTTTTTAACCAAAAAAATATATTCTGTAAAACCGCATATTTTCATGGGGTCAAATTTTCGAGGTTTGAGGAAAAATATTGGTTTGTGGGGATTTGATAAAGTCGGACCTGTTTATTCTTACGATTTCGCCATATTTTGTATGGATTTTGTGTCCAAAATACGTCTCACGTTTTGCTATAATGAAAATATGGAAATCGGAAAATCCTTTCGTTTGGATTTTAGCAGCTAGTTTTCGTTATGGTGTCTCAGTTTGACGCTCTTTAATTGCTAAAAAAGAGAAAATTTTCTAACACTTAAGTGATTTCGGGTTGCCAAATGCAGTGGTTTAAAAATGACAGAAACCCCTCGAAAGAAAGCAAGGTATTATCTTTTTCTTTGAACATTATTAGACCATGTTTATTTTTGGAAATCAGAAATGTAGTTGTTCTCCAGTTATATATATACAATCGATGAAAAGTGAAATATTATGGGGAAATGCCAAATCTCACTGACAAATCTAATAAAAAATACTGAAAGACAACAATATGGGTAAACAGGTCTGTAAAGTAGTTGGAGAGGTCTTTAGTAGTTATGTATATGACATTTTACATTTCGTGGTGGACATGAATTCTTGAGTCTCTTCATACCTCAAAAACAACAAAAATTAACCCCCATTAAAATTCATGATTTCACAGTAAGAAAAACTTATTAAAAATTCTTTTGTTCAGAATACAGGGATACAAATGAGTCATTGTTATGCAACATAGATTCAAGTCAGGGTTGATTCTTTATAATATATTGGAATAAAATACATGTATGATTAAATAAAACTTTCTCGAAGTGAGCTTCATATTTTCAAATTAAGAAGTTATTTTTTACAGTATAGTGGTAGTAGGTTGTGTAAGTCCAGATTTATCCAAGTCATGTTTGTTTTACCAAGTGGGCTCGATTAAATGAGTTTAAAGGAACAGATCATAATTTAAAATGCAGTATCTTAGCAAGAACATGGAATTGCAGTCTCATTACTTATTGTTTATGTTTACTACTGAATTATCTACAGGCTCTAAAGGACCAAAGAAGAGTTGTGACAGCCTTCTGGTTGAATGATGTCCTGGTTAAGAAGAAGATGCTGCCCCCCTGGCAGGCCCTCCATCTTCCTATCATCTATGGGGAGGATAAGCCCTGCAGTAATCAGGTAAAATTACATAAAGTACAGGGTAGAATGAAAGTTATCATCTAAGGGGAGAATAAGCCCTGCAGTAATCAGGTAAAATCACAGGCATTACAGGGTAGAATGAAAGTTATCATCTATAGGGAGGATAAGCCCTTAGTAATCAAGTAAAATCACAGACAGTACAGGGTAGAATGAAAGTTATCATCTATAAGGAGAATAAGCCCTGCAGTAATCAGGTAAAATCACAGGCAGTACAGGGTAGAATGAAAGTTATCATCTATAGGGGAGGATGAGCACTGCAGTAATCAGGTAAATTACAGGAAGTAAAGGGTAGAATGAAAATAATTGTCTTCATTTTGTCAGTGGGGAGGATGAGCCCCGTAGTATATTTAGGTCAAGTTGCTAGATACATACATGCACATGGTAGAATGAAAATTATCGTCTTGTATATGGGGAGAATAAACCCGGAGTTATCAGGTAAAATCACCAGAAATGCATGGTAGATTGGAAATTATCATCAGCATTGGCTAAAACATCTTGGCATTATGCATGTCAGAAATTATTTTTTTTGTAACATATGTATTTATTAACGTGTACTTTTAACTTTGAAGAACATTTATTAACAGAGAGGAAAATGTTTTAAATAATTTTCATCAGTCGTTAGAAATTCTTAAAGTTAGGATTATAATGACTGTTTATAGATTCTGTGTGTAACAAACTTTGACGGGGAGGAGCGTCTTCGGGTCAAACAGATGATCAACGCCATAGGAGCTAAATACACTGGTTATATGACTCACGGGAACTCAGCAGTCATTTGTGGCAGGTAAATAGAAATGAGAAGTCTTTGTACTTAAAACATTTTGAAAACAAAACAACCCATAAACCAGCAAAAAAAAAGATAATAAAAAGTTTTACACTGATAGTTGCATATTGCCTTTTGGTTTACATAAAAAATTATTATTAAATGTCATAACAGGCCTGATGGGAAGAAATTTGACAAAGCCAATGAGTGGAAAATCCCTGTGGTGAATGTACAGTGGTTAAGTGACCTAGTTTTAGGGCATCTGGAAGCTCTGAAATTGCCAGTCAATCCTAAATATCGGATACTAGGACAAGAGAACCAGTTTAATCTAGATCTATCCAAAGTCCTACATTTAATGGGTAAGCCGTGTCAGTAGTGCCTTTATCAGGCCTGGTTTCATGTTTTAAGTCTAAAGATTAGATATTTTTGATGAAGTGGAAAATTGTCACATTCAAACATTTAAGCTTTCTTTTTACAATTACAGTGGGTTGGCAAGTTCCTCTAAAGATACAAAAAGAAACATGGAAGGTATTTTAAGTGTTCAGCATTTTGAAATTCATTTTGACTGAAGGTTGCATTACTTGTTTTAATAGAGAGGAGAAATATAGATGAAGAAATATTGCTAGCTAGTTGAATCCTGTTTTAATATTTTGTAGAAATTCTTGCCAAATCAGAAAGCCCGGCAAGCTCTACAGAGTCAAGAGAATGAGGTGAACAAGGAAATTAATGAACCAGCTGTGAAGAAACAAAAGTATGTTATATTACTATGTATTACATTACGTGAATGTTCACTGATTGAAGAAATCAGTGAACCAGCTGTAAACTATATTATTATGTATTACATTATGTTAATGAGAGGCTGTAAAGAAATAAAAGTATGTAACTACGTACATATACTATACAGTACTAGTAAGTAAAGAAACAAAAGTATGTTATACATGTGTTACTATGTATTACATTACATTAATAAGAGGCTGTAAAGAAAGAAAAGTATGTAACTATGTATATATATTATACAGTACTAGTAAGTAAAGAAACAAAAGTATCAACAATGCATAACATTAGGGAGCCATGGCCAGCTGTGTAAAACAAGAAAATGGCGCACTACTAATTTTAGCGCCTTTTGCGCAAGTGCCCCTGAACGCTAAAATTTATTATGCGCTAATGGATTTCTAAATATTAAACACAAAGCAATCGCTTAAGTACATGTAAACCGGAACATGCCATTATGTAATGTCGTAGGGTCGCTGTATTTTTGTATACACACTTGCACTGGTGAACTGTAGGATCAATCGAGAAAGTTCTGCCAAATCATGAATTATTTAATCAAACTATTAATTAAAGTATTGTTAGTCGTTACGCAGTATTTATCATTAGCACCTTCAAAGTTTGGCTTTTTGCCATGTCCATCATCTACTGTCTCGAGGTGAAAAATGTGATCAAGCAGGGCAATCGACCTTGCAGTAGGTGTGAAACGGTTCACCGCGGTATCGATTCACCGCAGTATTTTTTCTCGGTTTGATACACGGTGCAAAATCTCTAATTTTCGGTTCGGTTCATTTTTCGGTCGGGATCGTTATTCAGTCGGGTTTGGCATAAGGTAAAACACATTACTCAGTAAAATAAGTATAGAAAACGTAAATTTTTTTGACTGATAGCTTGTAAAATAATTTTTGACCGTCAGATAATTTAAATCAATTTCTTCTAGTCAATTTGCAAATAAAACTCGTAAAATATGTTACTAGATTTAGAAAAAGAAAGCATAAAACAACGTTGAATTTGTTTCCTTCTATCAAAATGTATCGTATCGAAAATAACCGAACTGAGACAAAATTATACAATACGTACCGAACCGTGAAGGAGGTGTATCGTTTCACCCCTACCTTGCAGACAATACCCACATATGTTTACCAGTAACTTTCTTTCGATGCATGCATGGTTTTAATATGAATAAAATGTGTGAACACACCACAATCATTTATTGAAGTACATTCACAAGTTTAAAATCCACATCGAGCCACGTCCATGTGCTTGCAACTCCAAAGCGTTGAAAAGTGAACATGTTTACCTGTGTACGTGATTAGAAATCAATCATTGAATGCTATTGTGTTTGCGTGTTTGTGACCAAAAAAAAAATCAAATCTGGCTTGGATCAAAGGAAAAAATATCACATTTATATATTTTAATGACAAGTGCAAGCACTAAATTTTTTTTGCGCCAATGCATCCCACTTGCATTTGCACTAAAATATATATGAGCCAAATTTTCTTGTTTTACAGTACAAGAAACAAAAGTATGTAACAATGTATTACATAAATGAGCTGGCTGTAAAGAAAACAAGAGAATGTAAAAGTGTGTTACATTAGTGAATCTGCTGTATAGAAACAAAAATGTATAACTGTGTGTTAACAGTTAATCAAATTTTACAGGCAAGACTTTTGGTTTTCTCTTAATTACATGAAACTCTCTGTTCACAAAAATTTCATTCTGGCTTATATTGATACATGTATTATTAAGATCATATAGACCAATGACCAAAATTTGTGAAAATATTGTCTCGCTTATAAATACCAAATAACAGTGTCGTGAAATAAGGTGTTGCAAAAATGAAAGAAATTGTCTTAAAAATCTTAGTGGAAAATACATGTACCTGTAAATCTTAACAAACAGTATAAAATGTTGAGTATTTTTGGTGTTTCAGAATCAGTGTAGATGATCCCAGTGTTTTACAGAATACATCACAGCCAGTGATAATCTTTACAGGATTTCCTAAGGGACAAGTAAAGAAGCTGCAAATGGTAAATATAAAACACTTCATTCTATACGTGAATACATGTGTGTCTGAGACAAAGTGTTATCTTATACAGAGTCAGGGCAGAATGGACTGGCATGTTATTTTGAAAATAAAGCACTTCATAACTTACTTCAAAAGACAGCAAATAAGTACAGTCAAACCTGTTTTAAGAGGCCACCTTTGGGAAGTTTGGAAACTGGTCACTTAAGACAGGTGGCCTCTTATTCCAGTTTCCCCTGGAAATAGCCAGTCAGTCAATAAATGAACAACATTTAACACTACAGTTAAATTAATAAATAATCAGAGATTAAATCGAATCAATTTCACAAAATGATGCTTTTCATGTGTATATATATTATTTATGTACATTTAAAAAATCTTAAAGAATCTTAAACATCTTAAAGAATTCCAAAAATGTTTTTGTTTATGTTCATAGATGTCAGTTAAAAGTTACATACATTCATCAGTGTGCTTTTGTTACATTGAAATTAATTGTCATTTGAAGAAATATACATGTGCCTCACTATAAATTTTATATTATTTTTTAACCCCCCCCCCCCCCCCCCCCCAGCACAAAAAAAAAAAAATGGTAGGATGGTAAAAAAAGCATAGAAATTTTTTTCAGTAAGAATTTGTCAATAAATAATTCCCCTTAAAAATTATCTTTCATATGTTCAAGCAATGATCAACAGTGATAATTCAACAACCCCACCCCACCCCACTCATTACACTTGTTTGATAGGCAGTTAACTTACTTGCTGAAGTTATTAAAGTCTGGTAAATTTTAATTTTTGTATAAAGCTGTCAGAATTTCTTTGTTTTTCACAGACACACAAATAAAGTAGATCAGTTGACCAGAAAGGTGTATTGTATTACACAGTTTGAAATCATTTCACAGCACAGGTATTATGTGCAATAGACCGTAACTAATCTTCCAACACCCAAACAATCGTCTCCTGATACAGATTGTGAAATGCACGGGAAAATCAAGCCAAATAATGTACGTTGTTTTCACAAGAGTAGCATTTAGGGCTTCTACATGGAATCAAAATTTAAAAGATGTGAAAATATCGTAGCTTTGTATTAGGTAATATATGTATCACAGTGAACATTCTAAGTAATGATGTATGAATATCCTAAAGTACAAAATCTAGCTTTAAGAATTAATTTCTTAGGCAATAGGAAAATTATTTCTTTTCATTTTTCAATTGTCGGTCTTGAAAAATTATTGTTATTTAAAAAAAATGACCAGATGGTCTTACAGGAGAATATAGTTTTTTCATTAACACAGAGTTCAGCGTATCTAATTTGTTTAATTGCTTTAATAGATTAAAGTTGACCAATGAGCATATAATTATCCAAGCCAATGTGTTTAAAAGACGTGATAGAATTGCGGAAGTGGACAAAATGGCCGCCTATTACAGTGTAAATATGGTTGTGGGTGAGGATTTGAGTGGCTGCTGGCCGTGTTACACTGGTGGTCATTTATTCCAATTAAAATGTATAGGAAAAATCGTCGGGGGGAACTGAAAGTGGCCGCTGACCGCGAGTGGCCGTTGATTTCGAGTGGCCACTAAGACAGTTTTGACTGTAACTTATTTACTAAAAAACAGAATCAGATCATTGTTATCCAGAATTTGTCATTAAATCTGGTACTCCATATAATGTGACATGATGGTACCATCAGTGAATTGTATGTGTTGCGTTTATACATGTACATGTGCAGGAGGAGTTTACATGTACATTTTCAGATATGAATAGTTTTAATTTTGGATACTTGCCCATGTTTAGAATAACTGAACAACTTGGACTGCACTTTTTGGTAACCGTATATACTCGCATATAAGTCGGTCCGCTTATAAGTCAGTTGTATTTTTGGCAGTTATTTTTGGGTATTTGCCATTGACCCGCTTATAAGTCGGTACAACTTTTTGCTTGAATTGGTTGACAATTTCAAATCAATGCACTGATGTTTTAACCCGGTTTCAATTTGTTTTTTTTTTTTTAAAATGACGTTGATATTTAATTTTAAATCATTAAATAAATAAGTAACGCACACTTAAGATAAAAATAGAACTATTAAAAATTATAAATAGTGTACTATATGCATAATCTTAGAATACTTAAATGATTCAATATATAAAGACTGTTCAACAATAATCGGGGGGGGGGGGGATGTTTATGAAATACTACCTTTCGTCGTCCAGAAAAAAACCAATCTTTCTATTACTCGCCTATAAGTCTGACACAGAGTTTTGGACCAAAATTTAACTCCCCCAAAAAAATGACTTATAGGCGAGTATATACGGTATTTTGGAAAACAGTGACAGCCCTGATCCATCCCATTTGAACATAATTAATCTTTGGATTAATAAGAAAAGTTGATATAATACTTTTTTCTGATTATACCTGTGTTGGAGAATCCATCCCATTTGTACACAAGTTAATCTTTGAAATTGATAAGAAAAGATTGTACTTAATTAACTTTAAAATAGATATTTTGGGTGTTCTTTTTGAAATGTGAAGTGTTAATCCCTTAAGGGTAATGAGTAGAATGTATGTTTAATTAATCGTCAAAAGACAAAGCAGTACATGTAAACATTTTACCTTTTATTGCCACTATAGATTGTCAGTCAGCTAGGAGGGATTTCTACAGAGAACCCCCGACACTGTACACACCTCGTGGCCCCCTCCCTGTCCAGAACCATGAAATTCTTCATTGCCATCAATGTTTGTAAGCACGTCATCACTAAGGAGTGGATAGATGCATGCATGGCTCAGGGAACATTTGTTGGTAAGCTATCCAAGTTCTTTCTATAAGCACTCAGCTCTTTGGCTTGTAGAAGCAAAATTATCTGAATATTACTTTATGGCCAAGAACAAGAAAAAAATCTGAATTATCGTTCTGTGTGTACTATACATGCTGTCTGATGTTCCAGATTCACTATACCGTATAAGCAGAAATTTTAGCAAGGATTCAATTTTGGCATTTTTAGCGAGGGTGTTGAGATTGCTTAAATTAAATATCGCTAAAAATTTATTCCCACATGAGGGCATTATCTTGAATGCATCATATTATTGCTAAAATTACTTGTTGTTAAAATTAAATACTGAATTTTTAGGAAAAATCGGTAAATTTGCATCTCGCTTAAAATTCCATTTATAGGGTATGATATCTGATATGTTAAATTTCTTAACCACTGTGTAAATGCATTGGAATTCAGTTATTTCAAAGGCTTCAGCACAAAATCTATTTTTTAATAGATGAAACACCATACAGATTGAAAGATTCTGCAACAGAGAAAGCAATGGACTGTGTATTAGAAGACTCATTGAAGCGTGCTCAAGCCAAAAAGCTCTTTGAGGTGAAGTTCAGTGATACAGTATGTCTTGGTGAAAAAGTGGTGTTGTGACATCATGTAATAATATAGGTGCTGTGTGATGAAAAAAAAAATGAGTAGGGACATTTACGTCATTAAACAATTTCGGGTAATTTTTTGTGTCGCCTGCAGAGCAGGGATCACTTTACCCGGCATCTGTCTGTCCATCTGTCACACCTTGTATCTCAAGAACTGTAAGAGATATGGACTTGATATTATGCACTATTTGGCACTATGGCTTTTATGAATTGCCACGGTTACCTACCTTGTGACCCTTGACCTTTGACCTACTTTACAAAAGTTAATAGTGCCAATATATACAGCATATTTTTGACATTTAAGAGGTAAATCTATGCTATTTAGCATGTGCACTGATTGTCATAAAACATTATAAAAAATACTAGCATAACAATTCATTTGACCTTGACCTTTGACTTACTTTGCAAAAATCACTCCGGACAGTTTAATTTATTAACTCAAGTCTTTTGAATTTTGAGAGGTGGGGTGTTGATAATTAGCATTTATACATGTTTATGAGCTGATGATACTGTACTTTGAAACTGTATGATATTCAGTTACCACACAAACTGATATTTAAATACTTTGAAAATACATCGGGATAGGTACCCCACAATGGATCGTGTAGACTGACAATTGGAGTAAAGACTTTAAAACATGTATTATACATGTAAAATGATAAATAATTATTTATAATAATTTCAATTTAATTATTCATTTGAAGGTTGGGAATCATATTCTCTTTGATTGTCAGATTTTATCGTAGTCTTATACTATGCTTGGATGCTTTTTTTCTGCATGAACTATCATAGTAGTAATTAAGGTAATGATCCATACCACATAAAATAATGCTGTATGACGTTATTCATGTCAGTGACGTTATTACGTCAGCCCGTGCCCGACGCTTATTATATCAAACTGACAGACGTCAATATCACTTACGTGATAAGAAGGGTAAATTCGTTTTCGAAAAAAGGCAGAAAACTACGCTGTACGGTAATTCCCGGAATGCATGACCGAAGGAGAGTTGAATTTTGGATGCTTTGTTTACCATTACGACAAACCGAAAGTTGATTAACAACAAAGTCAAAGATGACATGGGTTGACTCGAGGAGAATTAAGATAACAAAAAGACTTCGACAATCGGGTCGCTTTTTTTGTCTCTGTAAGTTGAAGAAATACAGAGTAACAAATAAATGGTTCTCTTGTCGAATGTCATTATCGTTTGCTTATGCTCTACAAGCAGGGACCTAATGGGTACTTGGCAATAATGGGTACTTGCACGTTATATGATGGAATTATGATATCATCCTCGAAAATCATCCTTAGAGATAGACTCAGGTTTTGAAAAATTAGAGTTATCGAAAACTTAATTTGCAATAGATAAAACTGCACAAATAATGTTATTTAAGAAATAAAGTCCGCGTTATCGTGAATGTTGCAGGATAACCTCCGAGGTCGAGAAATGTTGTCTGAAATATAAAAGCCGAGGCGTTAGCCGAGGCTTTTATATTTCAGACAACATTTCGAGACCGAGGAGGTTATCCTGCATCATTCACGACAACAAGGACTTTATTTCTATTCTACTAACGGCTCTAAAATACAGTTGATCGTTTTCTCTATAGAGAAACGAATTAGGTCATCATGTCGCAATTTCGCTGTTCCATTTAACACCAGAGGGTCAATTGATTGCATAAAATGCAGACGATTTCAGCTTTTGTTGGATTAAAAATATCCTTTAATTATTTATAAATTTGCTTGTAACATATACTGATTAATTTTTATGAATGAAAAATAACAAAACCAGTTGTCTATTTCATTGATTTATCAGTAAAATCACGGGAGTGTAAATGTTGTGTGGAGGTCCGTAGAACAGCCCCACTTGGCTATAAAAACGGATATTTATCAGCTGTTTCAGGCAATACACACGTTTAGACTGCGTAAGACGACACATCGATGTGGTCTAAATAAGTATTAGATTATACAGTGAAATATTTATTTCAACTGTACAGATTTGACATGTGTTCCTGATCTGATAATTTTTTGATGACGTTCGTGATTTATTGGAGAATAATGTCCGCGGCATGTCTTTGATCTCGGCAATAATCGTAGTAGAATTGGTATTCTTGCACTTCAAACCATTGAATATTTCTTGATAAAATCAGAATGTTATATTTCATCTAAAGTAGGAAAGGAAATTGATGCATTCTTTTTTATATTGTTTCCTTAATATACACAACATACAGAAGATTTTGAAAATTACTTTTTAAAGCTAGTGCACATTAACCTTAACATTTGTTGTGCTGTGGGTAGTGTATTAGTGCACCTGACTAGTATTTAGACAGGTGTCCTTGGTTCGATTCCTGGTCCAGCCATGCAATTTCTCCATTGTTAATTTGTTATATATATTAAACAATAATATTTCATAAGTGATATTAACTGACTGGGCAAACCTGTCTGAGTGTATTAAATATTTCATGAATTGTATACATATTTCAGTATAAATTCATCTCTTCTTCCACTGGGTAGATCTAAGCAAATTTAAAAAAAAGAGAAATGCATAGGAATGTTCACTGATTTAAAGTCTCATCTGAAGTCTTCTTGATGTTTCATAAGGCACATTCCAGACTCTAATATCTTTGGAAAAAAATATAATTGTTTCCTCCATCCTATGTTTGATTTTTTAATGTTTCGCAGGGGTTGAAATTTTCCTGGAAAACCCACTAGCCCAGGGGCTACTGATCAGTAAAAAATTACTAGCCCAAACCTCAAACTAGCTAGCCCAATTTTTTTTTTATGCAAAATGAAAACAAAAGTTAAAGTTTCAAATGCTGTAGTGACAGAAACAAATTAAACTACAATGTAGTTCTCATTCAAAAGAAACCAGTCTACATAGAAAAGTAAACTGATGAGATTTTTTTTTTCTGTTCTGCTAGTCCAACGGACTATCATTACATTTAAATTAGCTAGCCCGAGTCTTAAAATGACTAGCCCCGGGCATCAGGCTACCGTATATTTCAACCCCTGGTTTCGTATACTATTGTTAAGGACAGTCAACATTAGCAACATTGTATGAAAGAAAGTAAAGGTCTATGTAAATTAAACTCTGTAAATGAAAGAGATGCATGCACACAAATTCACAGAATGGTATAATATAGATACTAGTAGCTAATAAGACAATGGGGATCCCTAGTTTACTATTCATATTCTAGATCATCATTTTATGTATAAGTGTGGTGGGACTTGAACCCACAAATCTCAGTATATGACAGTAACAAAGAAGGGATTAGATAATAAATAGGAATGCCTATGAGATCATAATGGGTGATTTAATAAAGAATAAGTAAAAGTGCGATGAAGGGATAAAATTTCAATCGGATAAATTCAACTCTTTTTGACATTCTGAGGGTTTATAATATTATATAATTAGGTTGTTCAAGCATGGTTCTTAATCATTATTCATTAAAAAAAAAAAAAAGACTTCAATTTCAATTTAGATTTCATGGATTTGTGTAAAGAGTGTGACTTTTTATTTGAATGAAAAATTATTAATAATGTTTCATAAAAGTTATTTTAAAAGAATAAAAATGCTTTATTTAAGGCAGAATTTATGACAGTGTTTTGTTTCTCAAAAGCAACTTTCATCGATTTTCATTTTATTAAGTAAAAACCATTAGTTTGATATTTTTTTTTATTAATAATTATTATTTTTGAATATACAAGTATTTATTTGCACTTATTATTATAAGATATCATGCAGCATACAAAAATACATTATCATCACTATATGTACATGTGTTTTAATGACCCCTATATACTTTACACTAGAGTTCATATTGAATCCCATGGTACCATCATACAGTAAGAGTGATCTGCCATCAGATCTAAAAGTAAGGTTCATCGATACATATGTACTCTGATAAGAGAGATATCTCTTAATGACATAAATATCTATTATTCCTTTATAAATTTGTGAAGTTGAAGTGTCTTTTTTGTCCAATTTTGCCTAACAATAGGAGTGAAACGGTTCACCGCGGTATCGATGCACCGCGGTATTTTTTCTCGGTTTGATACACGGTGCAAAATCTCTAATTTTCGGTTCGGTTCATTTTTCGGTCGGGATCGTTATTCAGTCGGGTTTGAGATAAGGTGTAACACGTTACTCAGTATAAATAAGTATAGAAAACGTAAATTTTTGATGACTGATAGCTTGTAAAATAATTTTTGACAGTCAAATAATTTTAATCAATTTCTTCTAGTCAATTTGCAAATAAAACTCGTAAAATATGTGACTAGATTTAGAAAAAGAAAGCATAAAACAACGTTGAATTTGTTTCCTTCTATCAAAATGTATCGTATCGAAAATAACCGAACCGAGACAAAATTATACAATACGTATCGAACCGTGAAGGAGGTGTATCGTTTCACCCCTACCTAACAAGCTATGCGATAATTGTTTGTATTTTACTTAACAAATACATTTCTTTTGGAAAATCATAAGCATTAAAGAAACATTTTATATGCACACTTTAATATGTTTATTCACCAATTAAGGGCCCTCGGGGGGCATATACAATTATTTCAGAATTATTACATATAAATAATATTAAAGTATATTGTAATATGAAAGAATATAAATATTCTTCTATATGAGTGAGCAGAGGGTTTATAAACCTTAAATTGAAACCTGCATCATATTACTCTATATGTGATAAACTTAAGCATTTTTAACAATTTATTAGGCCAAGATTAATAAATTGAACATTTATTTGCATGTATTTTCTCTCATTTAAATAGGCAACAGTGATATGTATTCATCAATACTGCACTGTCTTTGAATTTTTTTATGCCCCCGTATTGGCCTGTAATTGAAGATTCGGGGGAATATAGTTTTTGCCCTGTCTGTCTGTTAAACTGTTTGTCAGCAAAAACTTTAACCTTGCCTGTAACTTTTGATTGGTTGGAGCCATAATGGTTGTAATATTTCATGTGTATTCCTTGTAACAAAACTTTTCTTTTGGTATAAATATATTTGAACTCTTGACCTTGTCCTTAGCGTTTGACCCCCTTTTGCAAACAATTATAAACAGGACACCTTAAGAGGGATGGGCAGAGCATAGGGAGTTACGGTATAAAATTTCATTGCAAAGGCCCTAAAGCTTCTTGGAATATTGCTCAGAAATGAAATTTTTACACACAATCAGAATGTATGACCTTGACCTTTGAACCTCAAAATCAATAGAGTTCTTTCTTAGGCCATAGGGAGTTGTGGGATAAAATTTCAATGCAAAATCTTAAAGGCTTCTTGAGATATTGCGCAGAAACAAAATACCTTGACCTTTTGACCTCAAAATCAATAAGGGTCTTCCTTGGGCCACAGAGAGTTATTAAGTAAAATTTCAATGCAAAAGCTCAAAGGCTTCTCGAAAGTGTTACAGACAGACAGAAAGACAGACGGACAGATGCACAGCCCAAATTAATATCCCCACTTTCAGTGAAAGCAGGGGACAATTATATCAAGTTTATTTTGTGCATGTTAAACTTGGTTTTAGATACTTGTAGAAAAATAACATAACCTACCCAGTGATTACTCAGAACTTTCTTTTTCTATACAAATAATTTTTTTATATCATATTAAGCTAAATATTATATACACCTATTCTGCACTGTGCAACACAGTTCCAAAAGCCAGATAATGTATTAGACCAGCATACAAAATCCATATCTAACCAATCTTTTTTCCCCAAATGTATAAAGAGTCCTTTCCAAACTTGTAAATTTTTGTCATGTGAAGGCAGATTTTTTTTGTGCCATGTGTGATTAAAGTGGTCATATCCTGCAAAATTCATGACACTCGGGTGACTGTCAAGGCCCAGAGGCCTCTTGTTGGTGTAATTGTTCAATAGGGTTTAAGAAAACAATATTATGCAGGAAATTGATACTCATGAAGACTTGCACAAACAAGCTGAATTCTAAACTACTTTAATTTTTATTCTAAAAATTACTCTATAAAGTTTAAAAGTTAATGAACTTGATTTAATGATCATCACTACAATGAGATACATGTACTACATGTACATAATTGGACAAAAAAATACTTTGATATTTCTCCATTTCTCTTTCTTGAGAATGCATGTAGATATTTATTTATAAAGTTTAAAAGATTTTTTAATTTCTCTGACAGGTTTTAGTACATAGTTTTTGTTGGTCGGCTTAACTTTTTCCGAGAACAATTATGAGATTTGATGCTGAGAGAAACTTGATTAAATATTTTAATTTTAGGCACAGAGCAAAAGAAAGAGTTTAATTTTTTTAAAATCTAGACTATGTTCATAATGCATGTACCATTTCTCATGGGTATTTATAATGATGTTCATCAGCTCAGACCAGTTACATGTACAATAATCTGTGTCATGGAACAAACCCTCACTGAGTCCATAGCAAATTATAATTTTAACTAAGAACATTATATCTACTGAGATCTTAATCCAAGAATCTTCTGGATTAAACACAAAATCCTCACTTTTTCATTATGTACACAATCAACAACGACATGTTCCGGCTAGGATCTGAAAATGGAGGGGTGCAAGAGAAGGGCACTTTTACATGACTTACAGTTGTCTCTAGCTTTTGTGTATCTCATTACTTCACCCTTATAATAATGAACTCCTTCATATATTATTAATTAATTTAACCTTATTGATTTAAAAGATACAGAAACAGTAAACACATACTCATCTATAGAGCATGTAATTATGATTGTAAACATATAAAACAGAATTTTAAAGATCATCTTAGGATGAGTGTTACTTTTCTTTCTCTTTTTCAATGATTTTCTATTCTTGATTCCTATTTTCAATAAAAGCACCATAATATTCATATAAACTAGCTGGTGTCTCACATCTCACAATTTGTCACTATATGAAACTAAGGGTTTGAGCATGTTGAGAGAGTTTTAGATGAGTATATAAGATTACTCAAACATGTCACCCTAGAATGTGTTCATATTTTATTAAATGACATAGTTTTAGTAATTATGCTCACAATGCCATTCTAGTCACCAACCATGGAGCTTGGTGTTAAGATTGTGTCAAGTAGATTGAGTTATGTAAGTAAAATCTCGATCATTCAGTGTCCCTAGCTTAAAAGTAGGATTTCAGCCTTCCAGGCTCGCGATCTCCTATAAACACGATGTTTTAAACAAACATACAATGCAAAGTGGAAACACTGGATATACTCATCTCCACTTATATAGACTTTATCTGTATTTGTATGGATAAAAACATGATAAACAACGTGTACCTTACTAAGACGAACCCGAACTGTTCTTGTGATGAAACCAGACGTTAAAAAGATGTGGCAGACAAACCACTTATGTGTATCTATGAATATCGAAAAATGTATTACATAGAGACAAGAAGTAGTAAAATGTGCCACTTCTCCATTTTTTTTTAATCAATTAATCGTAAATGATTCTGTCACCAAACGAAACATAAGTTCGCGCATGCGCAATAACGGTTTAAAGAATATTCCGAACATTGAACCCGATGACTATTATGCTTGTGACCCTTGAAAACTAATGCTTGGCAGTCTGTGCATTAAACAGAAAAGTTTTAATTTACACCATACTCATTACTGTTTTATTAATGATAATTTTAATATTCAAAACGATTTTTACATCAAAATCCTAAAAGTATGGATATTAGAAAGATTTTTCAAATAATCACTTTTCAGGGAATTCGGTTTAAAAATGTAAAATTTTCTTGTTGGATGTCCGCTTCCCCACTTAATTTTTATGCCACATAACGGAAGGATCATTGAAAAATAACATGCTAATTTTTTAAAGAAATCTGTCTTCAGAATATCAAACAGCATTTTTTTTAAACCGTTCATGAAGTTCATAATTTTGAGCCAAATATGTTTAATTCGCCATAAAAAGTACAATAAAGTGGATCAGCAGATTAAAAAATTAACAAAACCGTTAAACAAGCGTATCTTCTCTATAATTCACATGTTTAAGTTTTTCATTTACATTTAATTTTAGAAAGCTAGCATAAATATCTTAATTACTGCATTTCTGTAATTTCACGAGGCAATGTCTATTTTTAGTAACAGTCCTTGCAAAAGGAGGTCCGGTTGACCTCAAAATTTACACAGATTTGGAAAGGACACATACTTAGTTAAAATTCTGAGAAGTTTCACAGAAATCTGTAGCTTCGTTATTTTTATAGCATGGTATGGATCTTTACCTTAAATACCTACCGGTAACTATACTTAGGTTTATTTACATCTTTAATGAAGCTACAAAGCAGGAGACACATGCATTCCTTGGAACACTCTAGTTTTAATAAACAACAGTTAAAAGTGAGAAAAATTAGATTTAATATAGGAAGGATTAAGCTTCATAGTAAATTATAAATTGGGGAGAAAAGAGAGTGTAAAAACTTTGTGTTCGGATGAAAGACGTAAAAAATTCGTGGAAAATATCTAATATTGAGAATTGTATGTAATTTTATGTTGTTATTCTTTTACAGGGCATGTCTTTCTATATATCTCCAAGTGTGTGTCCACCATGTTCTGATCTGGAGAAGGTTGTAGAGGCAGCAGGGGGAAAAGTTCTCAGACAGCGACCACACATTCAGACGTTTCTAGAGCAAAAAGATACAAATGTAATTCTTTTAAATTTTTACAGTTTTAATTGTCAGATTGTATCAAAAAAGCTGCATGTTTAAGTCCAGTTTGTATTTATAAAACAATATTATATGCCTGGGTACCTTTTTGTCTTGCAGGGGAATAAGAAGAATGTAATGATCACTTGTGAAAATGACGTCATGTTGTACAAAGATCTAGTGGACAAAGATATTGGTGAGTCTAATGTTTAAGATCACATTACTGTTCACCTTCAGGTTTATAACAGTAATCACTAATTTTCGGGGGGGGGGGGGGGGGGGGGGGTTAAATTTTCATTTTTTTTTGTGGCTTGAATTCATATCCCTAACAAAATGGAAAATTTTCATACTGTAGTACAATTTCTCCTTTAACAACGAAATATCTCGAGAACCAGTAGTTTTTCTGTAAACAATGAAAATTTGACCCCCCACAAATAAATGATTTTACAATATTTGATGGTCAGCATAAGTCACAGGTATGTATTTAAAAAATAACTTTTTTTGGGTTTAATGTTGTGATGTATCAGTTTGCTCACATGATAATTTGCATAAAATGTCAAAGGCAGTTATCACAGGAGCAGACTGATCATCATCATAAAAATAAAAAAAAAAAACAGACAGTTGTTCCTTATATTTATATTTCTACCTGTCATATCCTTGATATAAAAAAGAAATATTTATGTTATTTTTATTCAATAATTAAAAATCTGCAGTGGCTTCTAATTTCACATTTGATCAAAAATGTGTACCATATAGCAGGAATTTTTAGCTTATTTTAGGGGTTTGTTAGTAGCCCACATAAGCACTCTTGCTTATATGTACTGAATACAAGAAAGATATTTTTAATTGATCTGTTGTTAATAATCTAAAAAACACTATTCTTTATATTGGTTTTAATCCCACTGAAAGCTCTTCTGGAAGATTTTCTCCTCTCTGCACTTAACTGTATTTGATTCCATCGTAACCCACCAAGATGTTAATTCAAGATTTGAAATATATTGACGTTAAATAAATTGTTTCTTGTGTTTCTTTACTTACCTAACCTGAAGCACTCTTCTGTTAAGTGAAACAAAATAATGCCACTTATATGCAACATCATGGAACTTTGTGTTTGCCAAAAAAAGTACACCTGGTACCGCCAAAATTATTGGCATACCTTTAAGCAAGCTAAATGCCAAATTTTACACCCGCTATGCGGTATGTTATCATTGCAATGTTATATAATTGTAGTGTAGTAATAATAGAATGTCTTTGTCTTAAATTATTTTGCAAAAAACTTCTGAAAAGTTTGAATTTTATGCATTTTAAGTTTATCTTTGTACCTGTATTTTTAGCCATCTACAATGCAGAGTTCATCTTGACTGGGGTTATGAGACAGACTCTGGATTATAAATCATTTGAGATTGATGTTCATTGATTCCTCACCGATTGTGAAAGCAGAGAAAACTGATAAACATGTGTGTCAAGTGAAATGTGTTCTTCGGACAGTAAAGGATGTTTGCAGTGATTAGGTCCAGCTTGAGCAAAGGCAGAATTTATCAATGTGTTGGATTTCCTTGTCAGGAAACAGGAATCTCATTTGAACTAGTTATGCTCTGTTGTTATACAATGAAAAATGTAAACACCCCCTCCACAAAAAAAAAAAATATGCACAAGGCAGCAGAATTTTTGTAAGTTAGAATCCTTTTAGTTCATATTAAGTAGTTTAATTTAGTATTGATGGAATGAATTGTGTAAGGCAAGACAATGTACACTGTACTTCATTATGATTTATCCACAGATGTGTGAAATACATGTACTCCCAAGGCAGAGAATTTTCTGTGCTTGTGTTGTATGAATGAATTTAAAGTACTGTTTGTATTGTACATGCTATGCAGTCATTGTGTTTGATATTCTTGATAAAACCAGTGGGTTTTTTTTTTGTTTTTTGTTTTTTGTTTTGTTTTTTTTTTTTGTTTTGTAGTCCATGTATAGACTGTGCTAAGATGTGTGTTTCCAGTGCTGAATCATTGCAAATTAATTTGTTTTTTAGTCATATATTTTACTATAGAATAAAATGCTGCCTGCAGTTTGATGTGCATGCGATGTTCAAATGGCCATTTTCAACACCTATCCCTTTGGTGCCAAATGCTCTTGTATTACTTTTGAGCTCTTCCCTCTCGCCTTTTGTGTGTACTGTATTTAATACTCAGAACTGTTCTGGTTACCAGTCTCCTCTTGTCTCCCCAAATCTATTCCTTCCTGTTTCGCATACAATTTGTGTTCATATTCTGACACCTACAATCATTTAAGAAGACAAAATTACAGACTTCAGAACTTCTCCAAGTAGTTTTGTATTAATGTCACATATTACTTTCATATTCTTAATGTCAAAGAATAGTTAAATGCTGATTATGAACTCGGTGCCCAGAGAGAGTACCGGTATTTTGCAGAACACAAAGAGGGAAATTTTCACAATTTATACTAAAGGAATAAAGTAATGTGCAAGTCTTGTGGTTTACATCCCGGAAAAATTATGGAGGAGTACTTTTGAGATTCTAGATCATTATGCTACTCTGTATATAACATGATTGCATCATGTTCATGGTTATCATAATTTCATTTTCTTTCTTTTATACCATGAAATCTAAATTTCTTCCTCCAGTATTATTTTAATGTAAAGCACACAATTTTGAAGCATTATTATTGACGGTTGGGCAGACAGGAGTTGTAATGGATAGGTTTCATATGATGTATTTTTCCTTTCAGTTATATTACCCTTGGTCTCCATTTTTTAGATCGATCTGGTGAATTTTCTTTTTTCCATTTTGACTTTTGGCAGAAATACAAGTAAATTAGAAAAAATCTAAACAGAATGCTTTCAGAAAAAATATATTCTTTCAAAAAACAGTGTTTTTTACATCTCAATTTCCAACAAGACAAGTTTAATTTCAAACTGGTTAAAAAATTAAGGAATTTCCAGTATAGTGGCCAAAGGGAATTCATTCGTGGCCCATGATTTTCTTTTATTTTACTATTACCGTATTTTTAAGGATTATTTCGTTGAAAAAATTATATAGTTTTTTTTTTCAGTTTTGTTCTTTCATTGTACATTGTACATGTAGTTGAATAGTCATCAAAAATGTATGTTCAAAGGTTTTGATATTCAGCAATTGCATAACAGCAGTGTATGTAATGGGCATTTACTGTGATTCTTGGGAGGTTTTATGTGAAAATGAAATTTTATGCAAGAAAATAATTTAAAGGTTGTTTTATGAGTTCTTCTCCTTTGTTAACATCAAATATTTTGCATGAAGCTTTTGTATGAGAATAAATTCATGTTGAGCATGTGAAACATTTGATCGAGTTCATTATAGTTTTTCTGATATGGAAGCTCATCGGGTTAATACATTGAATCTAAAAAAAAAAAACACAGATCATAAAATCCAGTTTTATTGTAACAAAACGAATATTTAAATTAAAAATAATGTAAATAATAAAAAGTAATATGTATGTACAAAAGTATTGCATTAATCATATCTTTTCTCTATCATATAAAAAGTTATGATGCTATGTTAATTAAAATTAAATGGATAGAAGATCGTTGATTTGAAGGAGGTCATACAAAGGTAAATCGTACTCTTTGGGTGAACCTCTCGTCTCCTGATTTTGTACAATCGATGCAAAATCAAATGGAGAGTTGAGCATTAGGTCAGTTGACATCTTGACAATCAAGAGATGGGTAAGTAGCTACTTGTAAGAGGTGAGCAGTATAGGCTTAGCGTTATATGGTGACTGTTTACAACTATACGGTCGTGCTGCGGACTGCGTTTTCCGCAAACTCGGGTATAAACTGGAATTCACAATCCCCGATACAAGGTAATTTGGAAAGCACGATTGTTTTTTTCAGGTATGACGGTTTTTTTTATAATCAACAAAGGCTTGTCGGTTTGAAAGGCTCTTATGATGTCATAGTGTGTGTTGTTATCGGATTTGATGGAATGACTATTGTTTTCTTAACCATTCGGGAAATCTGAAATGTCTAGCAGATCGCAAATGGCTGCTTTTCATGCTTTTGGGGGCTTGGTATTGTCGTGTACATAAAAAATATATTTCTTTTAAAAGAATTATTGAAGATGTTTATCGGAACCACTGTGTGATGCCAACGACGATGATAATTACGATGACCAATATCACTAAAGTAAAAATTTTGATGTATATCCTTCTCCTCTGGTCATCCATAGGAACTCGGGCAGCAAATAAAGCCTACAAGGTACAAAACATTGATTAAGATATCAAATGATTGTACATTAAGAATAATTATAGGGGAAAAAGGATATTACACTGAGGGTGTTAGGATTTTCTGTAATATTTTTTTTTCAAGAAAGATTTGAAAGAAAAAACGACGAACCACTGGTCGATTTCTCATCCGGGCAAGAACTGTCACATCATGTGGGGTGATTCCAAGGTTTTGTGACCTTTGATCTCGAAAATTATAATCATGAATGAAAGGCTGCGGGTGCTGGTAAGCTCCGTGCATCAAGGAAGAGGGTGGAGCGTAACAATGGGGACTAATAATGACGTCACTAGGGGAGGCAAAGGAATTCATATCTTAAAAAAAAAAAAGACGCATGTATTATGTATACACAAAGACACACACAAAATATTTAAGTTTACCAGCCTTTCAGTTTCAAAGGAGTGAATATACTACATTAAAAATATCAAAATTCTCTTGAAAAAATACCGAATGTATTCTAATTAACACTGACGAAAATTAAATAAACAAATGTATTTAGATTCAGCTTGTATGAACAGGCAAAAGTTGATATACTTACCATATGGTTGCGTTGGAGAAAGAGACTGATGCCCCGGCATTGTACACACTTCTTCATATGGGGGAGGCGGGGGAGGTGCATCTTTATCTGTTACAATAAATTGGTAAATAGACATGTCAGTGTGTCGGAGAAAAGATATATTTTTTCCTTTATAGAAACCCCCCCCCCCCCCCCCCGTATCACCTTTATAACATTTGCTATTTTCTAAGAAAAAGATGAAAAGGTTATTTTCTAGCAAATGTAACACTGAACTTTTTACTTTTGCCTAAAATGTTCTTTTTTTCTATTTACAAGTTACATGTATATTCATTTGTATGATTTAATGAAGTTATATCATTACTAACATCAGAATATTTAGTATATATTATGACATTTAAGAAGTTCCCTTTGACAAGTTTTTCAGAGAACGCATTTTTTTTTCTTTGTTTGATTGAAGACATGCAGTAAAGTATGAAGGTTTACAAATAGCCTTAGCATTGGGCTGTTAAACCGGAAAGTGTCAAGGTGGGTTCAAGGCTTCAAGTCCTTAAAACGTCATATATAATGACCGGGGTCTGAGCGAGAATACGAGTGTGTATATATTTCAAAAATACACTAAACAGCTTTTGAAGGTTCGTTCTACCACAGGAGTTTGACGTTTTATGAATCGGGGGGGGGGGGGAGGGGGGGGAGATAATGTATTCTACTAAAGGAGAAGAAAAAAACCTTTTTCATAGAAGACTCAGGTTTCATTATTTAAATTTATTTCCCTACTGATATATAAAACGTCTAACTCTTGTGCTTAAAACCTCACATTCAGCAAACTTTTGAATTTGATTAGAATTACAGATTAGATTGATGATTCAGAATTAAATTATGGATGCAGAGACGTGGGAAGTGTTTATGATTTTAATTCTATCAGAGACTAGTGTACATATAGGTTCGTGGGTCTCTCTTGATAACGTGATTAACGTTTAACAGTTGATACTGGTAAATCCTTCTATATTTATTCTGGCCTTGTAATGAATATTCAATTCCATGTCTTTGCATCCATTAACTCTATTCAAGTTTGACTTTATTTACACAATATAGACATTTAATAAACATCTCAACTTTCTTAAAGTCTTGGTATTCAGAGAGAGAGAATGAAAGAGATTTAAATTCTTATACAACAAACTACTAACTGATACATGTACCTGTGGATGTTTATTCACAAACAGAAAGCGACGATCTGATTATTAGATTTATGCACATTAACAGATGAAATAACGTACAAGAAAAAGAAAGAAGGAATATATCACAGCGCCCTAGCATGACATAGTCCGAAATTAATGAGGGGCATATATACCTGTAACTTTGTACACGTTCTTACAAAATTCCCTTTCCAAGGGACAGGAAAATTTATTTTTGTCGTACACAAACATATAGTTTTGTACGTGTTCAAAATGCTAACATTAATTAGGACATTTTATTTGAAATCTTAAACACAAAACTATTACAGTACAAATTTGGTAGTGACTAGTCTTTTTACAAAAGCTTTAAAAAAATACTGAATTTACCTGGCTCTTTTGCGTCCATTCTTAAATTTCCTCGCAAAATATGTGCATGCACCTCAGTTGAGATTTCTCCAATAATTTAACTTCAGACACTACGATTAAATGCACATTCCTGCATTGCTAAATTCCATGTGAAGACTTTACATAAACGTATACATATATACGCACCTTACTTTAAATACCCGTGAATGGCGTCTTAATCAGAGCGTGACATCTGACCCTTGAAGAGACTACAGGTTACATGTTTTTAATGCTTTGTGTACCTACATTATGCAATATTGATTAATCAGGGTGATGACCTTTATAATTCAAGTTTATCAATGGTCAGTTACGTGATTGATTAATACTGCTGATAAAGAAAAACGCCGCGGTTATTGAAATACAATGCTGATCGCTTTACAGTGTCTTTGTGTTAGAGTTCAAGTCAGGTGGCGATGAAGAGAACAAAAGAAAAAAATAAACGAACATAAATATGTGGAAGGATTAATTATTCAATTGAACAAGCACAAAATAAAAAGAAAAATAATTCATGGAGATAGAGAGAGAAATAGAAAATAAAATGTTTTCAGTATTTCCGAAACATTAAGCATACCTCATTGAGTGAAAAGCAAGCTTTAGGCCTATATATAATTACAGATAATTCATCCAAATCAACTATTATAATAATTGCATGCAGGCACGTAGGAAGCAATTACAACTGGAGGGGACACAACCATACATTTTCAGTTGAGGGGGGTACTATCAACCACCAAAATTCCTTGAAAAGCAAAAAGGGGGGATCAGACGTTATTGTTGAGGGGGCACAAGCATTTACTAGCTATGTTTTCTATATAGTATTCTATATATCGGCAAAATTATTGAAGGGGGGGGGGGGGCGTGCCCCTCGGTTCCTACGGCCATGGTATGTACATGTATCTTCAGCTGAAAAGTATAACGTACTATATTTAAAAAAAAATAAATAAAATATCTGGATTCGTTCACCAGTCATACACCTATATAAGGCATTGCGAAAGCTAAATTTCGAAATTAAAATAAAATCAAATTTTAAAGATTAAAATAAAATTGAAAAAAGTCATTTTCTATGATATTCTTTTTATTTATTACACACCGTTTCTAAGAATAATTACAACTTATAAATGGTCTGCAAAATCCTAAAACGACTTTTTTTCTGTAAATCTTGGAGTTACTTTAATTGGCAGATTTAACAGGCCCCTAGGGATTGGAGTAAAACTGCCAAAGTTTCCCTAAATTGTAATTAAAAGTTCAATCTCGCAATTTTCCCTGCTATGACGTTGTAGATCCAACCAGAATCTTGTACATACTTTGATGATGCTCCCCTTCTATTCTCATAGTTAATTTCACAATAATGTGCTCCTTGATAATAACTTACAGATTTACATCTCTTTCTTCTCAGACATTCTTCTACATAATCCAATACACTGTAATCTGTGAAGGAGTCTATCATCCTTCTGTCAAGTCTATATCCATATTGCAGTTTGGAATAACTACTCTCAATTAAGACTGCCAGAACAGAAAAAGATATTCCCCAATAAAATACAATTTAAGAAAATAGTTTTGGGTATTACGATGTCTCTCGAAAGGTGTAATAACGTGTACGAATGATCAATTTAGCTCCACCCGAGGGCCTGAACCCTTCATCCACTTGGGACTTGAATTTCACAAATTTGGTAGATGGCTAATTGCTCATTATAAAAATTTAAACAGCTGGTAGCTTGATGCCCACGAGGAAGATTATAAAGGTGTGATATATTTTCAATTAACCAACTTAGCCCTACTACGATGACCAGAACCCTGGACTAAGGGGGCATGGATTTCACAATTTCGGTGGAAGTTTTTATCCTCAATGCAAATAGTTTGCCTGCTTGGTGACCAATAAGAAAGAAAAATAATTCAAATGTGAAAATCAATTTCAATGTATGTCCAGCTTAGTCCCGCCATGGGCGGTCGTAATTCTGGACCCAAGGGTCATTTTGGTGGAGGTTTGACTTTTCATTTTTAATGCAAATTGTTGCCTGCTAAATGTGCAGGTGTGTGGATGAAATATAAGATAACGAAGAGTAATCAAACTCAAAAGTCCACTGGAACAACACAAATTGGGAACAGCGCAAACACGGGTCGACCTCTAAAAACATTAGAGGTGGGATCAGGTACCATGGAGGAGTAAGCATCCCCTGTCGACCGGTCCACCCGTCGTGTGCTCCTTGTCATGATCGAACAAACCTGAAAATCTGAAGAAAATCAGTGTGAAAAATAATGGCATAACAATTTGCATGAAAAACATTAGTCAACATTCGACTTAACGATTATAGATTGTTTTTCATTTTGCTAACAAGGTCATTGTATCATAGAATTTGCAAAATGTTGACTTTAAAGCAGACTGTTGATAACCTTGTATCATCAACTTATCTGTCAGTAGCTTGCCTCGTTCTAGAAATTGTTCGTACGTAGAACAGAATTAACTGGGAGACATAAACTCCATATGCAGGTGATAATGATATATTGCTACATAGATAAGGGAAATTGACGATAGAAAAGTTGAAGTCATCACGTTTATCATATAGTTTTGTTGTTAGTTTGCCACTGATGTCTTTTTCTAGTAAAATATCCAAATATGAAACAGATGTGTTAGACTGTGTGGTATCTTTTATTTCGAGTTCAAAGGGTATGTCGAATGAACGTAGGAATGAAATTGAGTATTGTCAATTGATAAAACGTCGTCAATATACAGTATCTAAATGACAGCATGAGACCTTCTTTTCATGTAGAAGTTTTTAATGAATTTTGCTCCATATGAATACAAAATGGGTCTGCTAATAACGGGGCTCAACTCGTACTCATGGGAATTTCAACATTTGATCTCCAAAAACTACATGGATATTGTCAATCAGAAACTCAAGCATCTTTGTCATATCAACATCGGAGTACTTGTGTGTACAATCAGAATGTTTTTTTTTTTCACAAAATAATTTTGCAGATGACCAATGACAATTGTAACATTAAAAGTTTAAAACTGAATTTTAAACTTATCTATAACTTATCACAGTAAAAAGGAAATTGTTAGTCAATATTTATGTAAGGAATTAGTACCAATCCTCTGCCTCAAAAGTGTCCGATTTGTTTGTGTGATAATTTCGTAAATGTGTTAATTGAATTTTGCGTGAATGCCGTAAGTTGTTTGAAAGGGCCAGTTTTAGAACCGCCGTGGACAATCCCGGACGTGAATATTAGATGTACTGGACATTCCATCATCAAGAAAACAAAGTTTTACTCTAGACTATTCCGAGTTATCAAAACGTCTGTGTTTGTGTGAGCATTTCAAATTGTTTTTGTTTTATGTGAATTTACTTGACTTATACATTTATATTTCGTTAATCATCTTTTATTATAAATTTCATCACAAGTTCACTTGTGTTACAAGGTACATGTGTGTAAATTTACGAGTTCCATATTTATTGAAAAAGCAGCTCTCTATATCGAAAAGCCTGAACTTTAATTTATAGTGGTGGAATGGTTGTATAAAGTGTTGAAAAGTTATATTTTGATACTATTTATTTTGATAAAGTTTTATGATTACCTGTTTTGTCAGCTGGACTAGTACATATTGATCGTGTAATGTATCTTTTTTTTTCCTTTTTTCACTGCCGAATTATTGGAAACAGAAGGATAGATGATTTTGCGAGATTTCAACATCCATCTGATATTTTAATCCATTCTGACAAAGTGTCAAAGTCTTCTTTCTTATGTCTGGCCCATCGCCTGGTGTAATCCTCGACAGAATTCCTAATCTTATTAGAAAATTTTGACGTCAGTTGAAAGACCGTGTTCCCTACATTTTGCCCCTTTTAAAATATATGTAGTTCAGTTCAGTTTATTAAAATAAGTGATTTATTGTCCTCATTATTAACTATTTCACGTCCCCAGTAATGACGTGTCAAGCAGAACTATAATAGTTGTAGAGTGATAGAGGATTATGTTTCAGATATTAGATATCTAGGCACTGTAGATTTATTTTTTCTTCTCTCTCTCTATCTCCCTTTGTAATTAAAAACTTTGGAAGCAATAGTCGATTAATATATATGTAAGAATTTTATTAAGAAATACAAGGTGTGGACTTCAGCTTGAAATACGTCGGAATACAAGAATGGACTCTTTGTGACCAAGAATATTGCTAATACTATATATGCTCAATAACTTTGTTAGCATATTTAAGTTTGAGGAACAGACAGGTTAGGAAAAGATATTGAAATATTAAAAGAATTTTGATAGTTTTGGTTTTACCTCTCATTTAATTATTACATTAATATATAATAAAGCCTTTTCACTTTGTGTTATGATGACTTCTTTTCGCGTTATTACGCCTTTTTACTTTGCGTTATCCTTTCCCAGTATAGGTTAAATCCTAATAATCTTTTGTGCATGTATAATTAATTGAACTGTACATTTTACTTCAAAGAACATAAGCAAAAAGAATGAGTATAAATTATCACTGAAAGACTACTATTACTGCTATTTTCAATCTATAATATTAAAACTGCATCCACAAATTATTAACTTGTCAAAAGAAGACAAACATATATTAACTAAATACCGATACATTGTATCTTCAATAGGATTTTCGAGTTTTGACAATTTTCCAGTTTTTTTCCTCAAGTTTTTTTTTTTAGGTAAGTTGATTTTTTTTCTCTGGCGCCCCCCCCCCCTCCCCCTTTCAAAAACGATGCTACGTCTCTGATAATGATAATAAGTTAGTGAAGTTTATTATTGGTTGTTTTAAAACACAATATTCATAAAATAATAAGTATAAAAAGTCGCATTTTTATTCAACAAATAAAAGTCCACCTGACTATTAAAAACTATGAAAGTACTTTTTAAGCAGGGTATATATTCCCATACATGATTATATAATTGAGTCCCACCCTAACGCCTATTAGTGTTGACAATCTTTCATCTTCTTTAATTCTAATATATACATGCCGCTAAAATGTCAATAGGCGCTCAAAAGCTGTTTGATAATTGATTTCTTTATACTTTTTGTTAATCCTTTTATTTTGTTCTATAATTGTTTAGTATGTATAATTTGTTGTGAAAAATCATAACTGGAATCAGCCCTTCGGTAGTGATACATCTCGGAATCGAAAAAGTATACAAGTATTCCATGCTAATTAGTCCCCTACCGGTGAAGCCGGAGGGGACTATAGGTTTCCTCTGAGTCTGTCCGTCCGTCTGTCCGTCTGTCCCACTTTGTTTTCCGCACTTTTTTTTCTAAATTCTTGCAGATATTGAGCTAATTTTTGGTGAGTTTATCTTGATGAGTTACAGAGCAAGTTTGCATTTCGTTCCGCTTTAATGATTTTTGACGGAATTACGACCTTTTCAATTTTTAAGGGTTTTCCGCAATTTTTTTTCTAAACGCTTGCAGATATTGAGCTGATTTTTGGCAAGTGACTTGACCTTGATGAGTTATAGATCAAGTTTGCATTTGTCCCGCTTCATTGATTTTTGACGGAATTATGGCATTTTCAATTTTTAGCGGGAACCAGATTACACGTGCCGGTAGTATTGCTAACGCAATACTCTCAGAATGCTTGTTCAATATGTAAAGATACAAAAATTTTAAAGCGTGTTGACGCCTTTGAGGTTTTATGAATCTAGGTTCAACAATAAGAGGAAAACTCAGGGTTAGTCCAGAATCAGTATTAGAAGGACAATTACACCCCGCAATGACTCTATTGATCAAAAAGTGAAAATCCTTTGAAAATCTCTCTCCCCCCCCCCCCCTCCTCATGAGTATTTCGCAGAGTAGCCAAGTGCATGGTTGTGACGGGAGTTCTGGAGCTTCAAATAGAGGAATTAACACTTAACTTATAGTTTAAAAGCAGTGAAGTAGTTGCGGAAAAAGCAGACCGGGGGGGGGGGGGGGATAAAATCGCGGAAATCAGGACGATCGAGGCTTCAATGCTTTTTATAATCACGCCAGCAGTTTGACTGCGTGATGTCTCCTTGATTCAATAAGAAATTTTTAAAGATTGCATTAATTTTGATGGTTTCAGCTCCACCCCTGAAGTCCGGGTTTTCCCTTTATCCATAAGAGCTATTTGCCCAAATTGATTAAAACTGGTTCAGCATTTCCAGAGAAGAAGCTGAAAATGTTAAAAATGTTAACACACGACACACGACAAAGGACGAAAACAGATACATGTAGCAATAGGTCTATAAAGAACAATAACAACAAATTAACGTAAAACCATCTAAAGACCCTTGAAAATCCAATGGATATAAACAGTCTGATGAAAAGTTTATGCATTTATTCATATATGGCACTCAAATATGACCAATTGATGGTAAAGTAACAAAATACATATATTTAAATGACTTTCTCTATATTTAAAAAAAAGTTAAATTATTACACATTCATTTATTTAAATAAAAATCACGATTTTTTGAGAACCAGAAATTAGCTTTCTAAAAATTCAAAACAATAAGCGATCTTAAAAACAAAACAAACAAACAAACAAAACAAATCAAAAAACAACAACAAGCCCCCCCCCCCCCCCAATAAAAAACAAAAACAAACAACAACAATAACAAAAAATAAAAACAAAGTTATGGTGATAAAAAAAGGCTTCCTTTTTTCCGGTAAAATTAAATGACTGAATGTAGTACAATTTAACTCCATGATTTTCACGAAGTGCCGCTAAATGACCAGTACATAAATAGCAATAACGAGAGTCAGGCTGACAACCAATCCTCCTGCTGTCATCATGGCCGACACCGAGAAAAAGGCTGAAAATAAACAGTCAACTTCTCATTTGCAATATTGTATATATGTTTCGTTTTTTTTTAAATAATTGAAGACTTTTGAGGCATTTAATTTTCAGTTGTCAACAAATATATATATTATCAAATTCAATAGCCTTAACGTGCGATATATTCTTGAAATACACGTAGTAACTTGTTTGATTCATAGCCATGCCCTTTTTGTCTTCTTAAAGCAATATGAGCTGCAACTTTGATGGCGGAAATTTTTGTTGCAATATTGTACTTAACTATTTCAATGACAGAAAAAAAGAACGTTTATAATCTTCTGTTGTTCGTATTTGAGATGGAAGAACTATTTATAAGCTTTGATTGAAGCAAATTTACATTATTTGTCGTCCTGTACAATATTGATTTTTTTATATAATACTATATTCTATTTTATATTTTGTTTTATTTATAATATTTTATATTATATTCTAACATTTTATTTTAGTCTAATTGATCAAAAAGGTTTAGGTCGAAAACAGGTTTGTCATAACAGCACATTTTTAACATAAAATAAAATTCTCCAAAATGCAGCTCATATTGTTTTAACTATTAGTTTAATAAACACATCATACTCAGACAATCAATATAAACAAAATATTTAGAGGATATTCAATGTTTTTTGTTGGAAATGGAATTATTGCACGAGTGGGGCATGATTTTTTTGACAATATTTTCACGATGAAATGATCCTGTGTCACGTCAGTGAAATGAATTCCATATCCTTTTACAAAACATTGAATTTTCTGTTTGTTTTTCTTTTCTCTTCTCACAGTTTTAGTCAGTGTCACGATGGTTTATCTACTTTCGCTATCTATAGGGAATATTTTCTTTACAATACTAGCTCTTCGTGAAGGGTAAGAAAATCAAGTGCTTTGCCGCTAATTTATATTTTCTCATTGAAAATAATAATATAAAATTTAGATATATACTAGGGATGTCAACGAATAGTCGACTTTCAGTCGAATATGGACCGACGATCGAATAGCGAAACGACATTCGAATAAATAAATTCAATAAAAGAGTGTTAAAGAGATGAAATTCTCATCCTAAAATTGAGAAACCGTCTTTCCAAAGACACAGTCGATAAGATAATTTTCCTCGATAAAAACTGCTGATTTTACATGTGGAAAGTACAGTAATTAGAAATGCTTCACTTCCGCGAGAATTATTTGTCAATTAATGTGTTGATTTTGTAATAGATTTATCTCGCTATACTGCGCTTTCTTTGTAAAATTATTAATTGGACTTGATCTCATACCATGTGCCCATGACATGAGCCGTGACATGTTTGGACACTACGATAGTTAAATAAAATTAATTTTCTTTTACATATTTTAAAGACATTCTGATAGTTGATACAAAAAGTATATTCAAATATTTGACATTATCACAGACATCGTGTGCCCACTCCCTCCCCCAATCATTTTAATAAGCTTTTAAAAAAATATATCGTATTGTCATTTTTTATGCTTCCTAAAAACCGACTTTACAGACCAATTTATGAACATGATTGACGATAAAATCATACATTTTGGAGAAATCAGCGGTCTATATTTAGTAAATATAAACACGCTATCGACATTTTAGGTCCATGTGAACATCTGTATGTAACATTTGATGTTACTTTTTCATACATGTAATTTTAAGAAAAGGGGACTGGGGGTTAAATATGTCATGCACCAGTGAAATTTGAAATAAAATTTTAGTTTCCGAAAAAAGTTTCGAATATATTCGACTATCGTTCGAATAATGCAATATTCGACTAAAGAAAATAAATATTTTGACATTCCTAATATATACCACTTAGAAAAATGTCACTTTTATTCAAGGGTTAAGTTATTAGAATTTTTCACTGTTGAAAATATAATGAAAATGCAAGTTGGTCCATTGTAATAAAGCAAAAACATGCTGATTCTGTAGTACAACGACCACGTTTAATCCTCAAATCTGTTCATAAAGTCACAAATTAATCTTAATTTTGACTTTTGGTGAAACATACAGTGTACTTCTACTGGTCAACAGCCTAGTGTTAGTTTCGTTTCTTGATCGGGAGGCCCGGGATCGATTCGCCGCGCCGCGTCAAATGTAAGACATAAACATAAGGGGGTCGTAACATAAAGCTTGCTAAGTTTTTGACTTAAGTAGGGTCATAAGTATGTTTTAGGTGCAATCGTAAGACCTGCCTAAGTACTACTTAAGTATGTCTTAAACTGTAACATAAAACGGACTTAGGTAGGTCTTAGCTAAGTCAAACTTATGTTCAAAATATTTGTTATGAATCATCCTAATTTTTCAATTCATTTATATATATATTTGTAAAAATGATTTAGTTACGTTTTTAATCACATATATATTAATGCTGACGTCCTTACCTATCGGATTTAGTTAGCTTAGATTAATTTCGTATTTAATTAAAGTTAATTCTGTTTAGATTAGGCCAGGTAAAATTAATCTTTAGATTCTCATCCCCGCCCGCCCCTCTCAAAGTGCCCCGCCCCGTTGTTTTTTATTTTGCTCTTTGGGTGTCAAATGTATTATTTTCATGTATTTTTATTCAGCAAGAATCTGGGTCAAAATTTAAGAGTTATCTCCCGTCTGTATTAAAAGTCGCGTGGCGCTATTTATAGCAAAAAAAACTATGTGAAGGATGGAGAAAAATCAACAATAAAAGCAGTTTAAATATGTAAGGAAATTTTAATTTGTCAGTATAGAGAAGGCAGTAAAGCAAAAATAACATAAATACATCTAGATACCATCACTGGCATGAGCAAGTTTTTAAAGAGATTTTAACTAAGTAAAAACAGACGAAGAAAATGACACATGGTTAAGTTTTAAATAACGATCTCCAGTTGTATGTGATTTTGCATTAAAAAAAAAACCATGAAAACATCGTCCAAAGACTTTAGAGAATAATAGTGCTAAGGAAATGTTAAATCTTAAAACTGTTCAGGCCTAGGCTTTTCAGTAGAATATGTTACAGATTTACACAATCCTGTTTTGCAAATATGACATATTTTAATGTCGAACATGTCACGTCTCAAGAACGATTGAATGTATAAGGACAGTGGAAATCTGTGATATATCACACAGAACAGAAGGAGTTGTTGGTAAAACTATAAGGTATTTGGGGAAAGGCCAATGAGAAAACATGCATATGCAATTTTTTAGGATCAGCACCTCATTTTGTTTGGCGTATGCCGTATCTGTGTACTTGATAATTTGTTAATAAAACTATAAATATTTTAATTTTCTATAACAAGAATCTTCTGTAGATATTTAAAAGAATAATATGAAATCAATAAAATCTATTCATATTGGCATTAACATAATATAAAAATTATGTGTACGAATGTTTTGTTGTTGCTTTCAATTATAAAAAAATAAAAAATAAAATCCGCCCACCCGCCCCAATTTTTATGCAAATTAGGATGAGAATCAAAATTTTAAATTTATGTGGCCTTATTAGAAATACAATGTATTTGAAAACAAATATTGCACGGCCACAAAGTGGCGCTAGTGGTTCCTTGTAAATGCGTGAATATTGTTTATCACTCGAGACTGCGATGTTTTCAGTTTACCGTTTGTTGTTATTCTTTCGTTTGACAAATGTTCACTTGCTTTCAAATTGTCATTCTCGCAGACATGGCACGATAACCGAACGTCTATGTACTTGAAATTGAAACTCTAATAAAAAAAAAAGTGCAAAACAATAGGGACATTTTGAATTTTTTTCCCTCCCATATCAGTAAGCAGAAACTGCAGACGTTTTATGATATACTTATTTACAATTTAATGAAGGATGGAAATTAAAGAATTGTTTTCAGAAAATAATTTTTCGTATATCTCCAACTTATCAACAATCTCTCTCTCTCTCTCTCTCTCTCTCTCTGGAACGTTAGTGAACGGTAGTGAACCCTGTCTGAATCCTCGCTTGTTGCGTTCTACATTCAGTCTAATTTACAGAAAATCTTTATTTGTTTTCTAGTCATCATCCTTTAATTCACCGACAATTTTTAAAATCATTTCATCTCATTTTTCACAGTGAACAAACAAATCCATGACTGCTGTATACAAATTACTTTTATAATTAAAATTATACAATATACTTATAAAGATTAGTGTTTATAACCTAGGTCCCACTAATATTTCAAACGTATCCCAAAAATAATTTTGCATTTAGATGTATATGTCATTTAGAGAGTGATATTGTAATCAGTGATGAATACCCCCCCCCCCCCCCCCGACGAAAAACTAAAATTCTTATACCAGTATATTAAATATAGAAAATTATTTTTTAATGCATAATATAAATAGAGGAATGTTTTAACATAGAAAGTCAACGTTAAATAGTTCTAAATATATGTTTAAGAAAGTTAAGACATACTTAAGTCACCTCTACCGGCCGCCTAAGTTTTGCTAAGATTGTCAAATCTTAGCACGTTTCTAGTTACGGTCTTAAGTTTAAAACTGTACTTAAGTCCTACTTAAGCATGGTCTTAGACTTAAGTACCCTTTATGTTACGACCCCAAGGTTGTTAAGCGCCTGGCACAAGAAGTGAAAGTCACGGGTCCTTCGAATGAGACCTTAAAAACCGAGGTCCCTTGTCACGATAGGCGTTGGCACAATAAAGAACCCTCACTGCTCAAATAACCTGAGTGCCGAGGATAGCTTTAAATTTGAAGCTCTTCACCGGTACATGGTGACGTACGTGTCTATATGAGTAAAAAGTTCTCAAATGGAACGTAAAACAACATACAATCAACCAATTTTCGTATGTAATGGCTAAATACGATCCGTGCACCTTTTAACCCCCCCCCCCCCCTCCCCGTCCTCCGTATATCCACCACTGTTTCTTTGGAGATACTTACTTGGTTGTACCTGAGTCTCATCAGAAGTATCAAACTTGACGACTTGTACGGTGAGAAAGCTAGTGGAGTTATCTGTCCCGTCAGTACACTCAAACCATATCTCATAGTTCGTGATGTCCGACAGGGAAATGTTCTGATTGGCCCTGACGTTCAACTCTTTTGCTAGAGAAGAATTGAAAAATCAGATCATTATCTCTTACCAATATCATTTTCATATTCATATAGAAGCAATTTACCTTCGAATCAATTTTGAGTCTTTCATGTATAATACAATACATAGATAATATATAATATTCTCTTTATTCATCTTCATATAAGTATATATATATATAGAAATATACAGAAATATATATATTGCATATATAAATCAAATAAATATTATAATAACTAATATGAAATACGTTTTTGCATATGAATAACAAGAGGCCCAAGGGCCTTAACGGTCACCTGAGTACAATAAAACAATTTAGAGGATCCATAAACTGATAAATGAAGCTTTGTTGCCCAAAAGCAAGTAAAATAGTATGATTAACATCAACAAAATAATTGGTCTACTATATATCTGCCCCCCCCCCCCCAATTTATCACTATTCCGATGCAGACTATTAACAAAATGTCTATTATTTAACCCCATATTATTACTTCTCACAATGTCCTCTCTTGGTCTTTGAAGAACATTTAAAAAGATAAGTTATTTTTGTCTCATTTTTATTCATCTATTATTTTCAAGTCATTATAACTATGAAAGTACTTTTTTTATTATTCAATAAATTTTCTTGCATAATTCTCTTATTCTACTAAGCTTTCAAATACATTATTTACATTGATTAATTATCAAAGGTGATTGGCAAAGGGGAATAACTTTGCTCAGCAGAATACAAGTTTATAGAGCCCTGGCCAGGACCAGAACACTTGACTAAATGGTCCATTGTTCAAAATTCTGGTAAAAATAGCCTTGCATATTAAAACTTTTACTCTGTTTGCCTTGAACATCCCCAGAAGCATAGAAGATTTTTCAAAGAAATGCATTTTCACCATATTATCAAATAAATAAAGCCCCATCCTTACACCAGAACATCTGACCCATTGGCCACGAACTCACAATTCTGGAAGAAGCACCTTTTCTCATCATAACTATACATTTGTTTCTTTACTTTATAACCAGTAGTAGAAAAATATTTTGAAAGAAATTATGCATTTTCAGTATATAATCAATAGATCTCTCCCCCCCTCACCAGAACCCCTGACCCAGGGGTCATGAATTTCAAAATTTTGGAAAAGGCATTCTTCCTTATCATAACCATGCACTTCCTTTGTTTGAAAAATACCCAGGAGCAGAGAAGAAGATTTTCAAAGAATTCATGCCTTTTTCCCTATATAATCAATAGAGCCCCACCCCAACACCAGAACCCCTGACCCTGGGGCCATGAAATTCATAATTTCTGAGGAGACAGCCATGTTCATCATAACTATGTACTTAGTTTATTTAATATCCAGGAGCAGAGAAGAAGATTTTCAAAGAACTAATGCAATTTTACTATATAATCAATAGAGCCCCGCCCTAATACCAGAACCCCTGACCCAAGGGCCATGAAATTCACAATTTCTGAAAAGGCAGCCATGCTCACCATAACTATGTTCTTAGTTAGTTTATTTAATACCCAGGAGCAGAGAAAAAGATTTTCAAAGAACTAATGCATTTTCACTATATATTCAATAGAGCCCTGCCCTAACACCAGAACCCCTGACCCTGGGGCCATGAAATTCAAAACTTTGGAAGAGGCACTCTTGTTCATCATAACTATGTACTAAGTTAGTTTATTAAATACCCAGGAGCAGAGAAGAAGATTTTCAAAGAATTAATGCATTTTCACTATATAATCAATAGAGCCCCAACCTAACACCAGAACCCCTGACCCTGGGGCCATGAAATTCACAATTTTGAAAGAGGCACTCTTGTTCATCATAACTATGTACTAAGTAACTTTATTTAATACCCAGGACTAGAAAAAAAGATTTTCAAAGAATTAATGCATTTTCACTATATAATCAATAGATCCCCGCCCTAACACCAGAACCCCTGACCCTGGGGTCATGAAATTCACAATTTTGAAAGAGGCACTCTTCTTCTTCATAACTATGTACTTAATACCCAGTAGCAGAGAAAAAGATTTTCAAAGAATTAATGCAATTCTACTATATAATCAATAGAGCCCTGCCCTACCACCAGAACCCCTGACCCAGGGGCCATGAAATTCACAATTTTGGAAGAGGCATTCTTCCTCATCATAACTTCGTACTTAGTTAGTTTATTTAATACCCAGGAGCAGAGAAGAAGATTTTCAAAGAATTAATGCATTTTCACTACATAATCAACAGAGCCCTGCCCTAACACCAGAACCCCTGATCCTGGGGCCATGAAATTTACAATTTTGGAAGAGGCTCTCTTGCTCATCATAACTATGTACTTAGTTACTTTATTTAATACCCAGGAGCAGAGAAGAAGACTTTAAAAGAATTAATGCACTTTCACTATATAATCAATAGAGCCCCGCCCTAACACCAGAACCCTTGACCCTGGGGCCATGAATTTCACAATTTTGGAAGAGACACTCTTGCTCATCATTACTATGTACTTAATTAGTAGATTTTCAAAGAAATAATGCACTTTCACTATATGATCTATATAGCCCCGCCCTAGCACCAGAACCCCTGGCATTTCACAATTTTGGTAGAGGGCTCAATGCTTATTACAATCATGCCAACAGTTTTACTGCTTGATGTCCAGGAGTAAAGAAGAAGAAGATTTTTAAAGGTTGCATTAATTTTGGTGGTTTTAGCCCCACCCCTCAGGCCCCGAGGGGGGGGGGGAGGGACCATGAAATTCACAATTTTTGTTTCCCTTTACCCATAGATGCTATACGCCAAATTTGGCTGAAATTGGTTAAGCGGTTTCAGAGAAAAAGCTAAAAATGTTCAAATGTTAACACACGACGCACACCGCACGCCGATGGACGAGAACGGATAGCAATAGGTCACCTGAGTGACTCAGGTGACCTAAAAAGTTAACCGATTATGAGTGTCAGTTTTTGGAATATAAATGAAAACGTTCTGCATATATAATCACAAGTTTATAAATATGAATAAACAATTTCTAAATATTATTCACAAGTTACCGAACATGAATAACAATTTTTCGAATACAAATTTAATAATACATTTTCTAATATGAAAAAAACCCACAATTTTAATTGAAGTGTAATCAATTCAAACGATTTTTATTAACCGGTTACTTGATTAATTATTTTTCCGATCGAGTATATGTACCCAGTTACTCGAATGGTTTCTCATTTCGACCCCTAACATCCTTAATCAAAAACCGATTCATTAAATATTTTGCTTAGTATCTATAAATTATGTAAATTCTTTACATTTTAGATAGTTATATTTATCTTTATCTTTTAAATTCTGGTATAAATAAATGAATAAATGCACAGCTTGCGTACTTTGTTTGCATGCAGTCTCTTCTAAACAATTTGTCCTTGCATATCACTCGAAAAAGTACAGTTTTTCTCAACAAAATACACAGTGTAAAAGATTGGCTGTTTTGCCTTTTTGTTAATTCTATTTCACATATTTAAGACTCTAATTGTTTAAAATCGGCCTTTCTTTTAGAATATTTCCATGCTTTTGATGAAATCTTATCATGTACTGAAGAATACAAAGTTTTAAAAATGAGGTAATTATCAACTAGGGACTTCAAAACTTGCATAAAAATAGCCCTTTCAAATCAAAAAAATAAATAAATAAATAGATACCGTGAGAAACCAATCAAAACCAACTGATCATATTTGTAAAAAGCAAAGTCAAGATCAACAGTAAATAAAATTTGTGACATATTTAACAAGAGGCCCAGGGGCCTTAACGGTCACCTGAGTATAATACAACAATTTAGAAGTTAAATACACTGATAGATGAAGCTTTGTTGCCCTAAAGCAAGAGAAGTAGGAAGATCAGGATCAAGCTTTGTTGCCCTAAAGCAAGAGAAGTAGGAAGATCAGGATCAACAAAATAATTAGTCTAGTATTTAGTATCAACTCATGAATCAAGTTCTAATCTGTCCCCCACTTAACACTATCACCATGCAGACTATTAACAAACTATAAGTGCTTCTGTACTATTTTCAAACCCATATTAAGACCTCTAGCATTGACCTCTCTTATGGTCTTTGAAGAACTTTTAATAAGATTTAGAGTTATTTTTGTCTCATTTTTATTTATCTATTACTTACAGGTCTACCTGATTATTAAAACTAAGAAAGTATTTTTTGAATTATACGATAAACAATCTTGCATAATTATCTTATTCTATTAACCTTTCAAATACATTATTTACAGTGATTAATTATCAAAGGTGAATGGAAAAGGGGAACAACTTCTCTCAGTAGAATACAAATTAATAGAGCCCTGCCCACGACCAGAATGCTTAGATAAATGGTCCAGATGTTCAAAAATCTAGTAGAAATACACTTACTTATATCATTTAAACTTTTACTCAGTTAACTTTCGATATGCCCAGAAGCAGAGAAGAATTTCACAGGTACAATGCATTTTCACTACAAATTCAACAAAGCCTTACCCTAACACCAGAACCCAAGACCAAGGGTCAAGAAATTTACAAATTTGGAAGAGTTATCCTCATCATCATAACTATGAACTTCAAAGAATTAACACTTTTCCACTGTATTATCAAAAGCCCCCCCCCCCCTCGTTATGCCAGAACCCATGACCCTAGGACCACAAGATTTTAAAATTCTGTTCGAAGCTCCCATTTTTATCACAGCTGAGTAATTTATTTATCAGCTCAACACTAAGGAGCAGACAGGATTAATTAATGATTAATTAATAGAATTAATGCTTTTCACTATATAATCAATAGAGCCCCCCCCCCCCCCTCCTCAAGAACCCCAAAAACTGAGGCCATATATTTAAAAACTTTGGAAGAGGCATCCTTGCCTATCATAATCATGTACTTAGTTTGTTTAGATAATCTCCAGTAGCAGAGAGGAAGATTTTCAAAGAATCAATGCATTTTCACTATATAATCAATAGAGTCCAGCCCTAACACCAGAACCCCTGATCCTGGGGCCATGAAATTCACAATTTTTGAAAAGGCGTCCATATGCATCATAACCAGGCACTTAGTTTGTTTAAATAATACCCAGGAGCAGAGAAGAAGATTTTCAAAGAATTAATGCATTTTCACTATATAATCAATAGAGTCCCACCCTAACACCAGAACCCCTGACCCTGGGGCCATGGCTTTCACAATTCTGGAAGAGGCCCATCTCCTCATCATAACTATGTACTCAGTTTATCACCTTAATGTCCAGGAGCAGAGGAGAAGATTTTCAAAGAATTAATGCATTTTCACTATATAGTCGATAGAGCCCCGCCCTAACACCAGAATCCCTGACCCTGGGGCCATGAAATTCATGATTTTGGAAGAGGCACTCTTGCTCATCATAACTATGAACTTACTTAAATTCTTTAATACCCATGAGCAGATGAAAAGATTTTCGAAGAAATAATGCATTTTCACTATATAATCAATAGAGCCCCCCCTCCTTTTCACAAGAACCCCTGGCCCAGGGGCCATGAAATTCACAATTTTGGAAGAGGCTCTCTTGCTCATCATAACTATGTACATAGTTACTTTATTTAATACCCAGGAGCAGAGAAGAAGACTTTAAAAGAATTAATGCATTTCACCATATAATCAATAGAGCCCCGCCCTAACACCAGAACCCCTAACCCTGGGGCCATGAAATTCACAATTTTTGAAAAGGCACTTTTGCTCATCATAACTATGTACTTGGTTATTTTATTTAATACCCAGGAGCAGAGAAGAAGACTTTCAAAGAATTAATGCATTTTCACTATATGATCAATAGAGCCCCATCCTTACACCAGAACCCCTGACCCTGGGGCCATGAATTTCACAATTTTGGAAGAGGCACTCTTGTTCATCATAACTATGTACTTAGTTACGTTATTTAATACCCAGGAGCAGAGAAGAAGATTTTCAAAGAATTAATGAATTTTCACTATATAATCAATAGATCCCCGCCCTAACACCAGAATCCCTGATCCTGGGACCATGAATTTCACAATTTGGAAGAGGCACTCTTCCTCATCATAACTATGTACTTAGTTACTTTATTTAATACCCAGGAGCAAAGAAGAAGATTTTCAAAGAAATAATGCACTTTCACTATATGATCTATATAGCCCCACCCTAGCACCAGAACCCCTGACCCTGGGACCATGAATTTCACAATTTTGGTAGAGGGCTCAATGCTTATTACAATCATGCCAACAGTTTGACGGCTTGATGTCCAGGAGTAAAGGAGAAGATTTTTAAAGATTGCATTATTTTTGGTGGTTTTAGCCCAATCCCTCAGGCCCCAGGGGGGCAGGGACCATAAAATATTTGTTCCCCTTCACCCATAGATGCTTTATGCCAAATTTGGTTGAAATTGGTTAAGCGGTTACAGAGAAGAAGCTAAAAATGTTCAAATATTAACGCACGACGTACGCCGATGGACGAGAACGGATAGCAATAGGTCACCTGAGTGACTCAGGTGACCTAAAAACAAAATAAGTAAACTTTTGATTCATTTAATTACTTTGCAAAATGTCTAGATATCCGAGTAACCGAATAAGTATGAATTTTTATTAAATTTAACAAAGGGTTTGTACAATAAATTAAAATGATATTATTTAATCTCAGGAGGACTTACTTGATGGATTAAAGGAAAATGTCGACATTTTGTCGGAGGGAAGGACGGATTCCATAACACATGTCACGCTGTCGGGGGAGGGGTCTGTGACTGTCAGGGTAAACAGCGTGTGTTCCTCTTGGATCCCTTCTATCAGTTCCACGTGATTTGGTAGGTTGGAAAACTCTGGTGGCTGATACATGTAATGACATTTTATTTTATAGTCAAAATAAGGAATGGTATTCAATAAAGTTGCAGTGCTATCATTAAATTAATTTTTTTTTCATTGTTACAAAAGGAATGCAGCTTATTCCATTAGAGTAATAATATAACTCACGCCATTAAATGTTGTTATGGTTACAGTTCCTGTGACGGCATTGTCGCACGAATCCTTGGCTTTAATGACGTAAGTATGAACATTCTCTGCCGTACCGACAGTATGGGGCAAAGTACTTTTTACTTTGATTGTTACTGAAGATTAACAAAATTTATTTATTTTATATATTAACAATGTGCGTTTACTAATTTTAAAGATATGTAAAATCTGTAATTGTGTAACATTTGGAAAGATAACAATATATGGCGTCATCACATTCAATGTTCTTGTGTTAATTCAAAACTTAATTAGATAAGTCAACGACCAATAATAACGCTAAACTTCCCTTTTGTTCATTTTCTGATTAAACCTATTTTCAGCGTGAAGAACAAGAACAAAAAAATCTCGTTTAATTTATGGGTGCTTTACATAGTTTCTGTTTACTTTTCATTAAGTAATCACCCTCAGAACACACATCTGTACCTTTTTGTAATTTGTAACTGAGGTTTGTCGAGTTTTCAAAATTGTAATTAGAGTTTGCTTACGATCGGATGTATCGAACGAGAAGTAAGTATGAGTGTTGGGATAGCCAGAGTAAATAAAGAAGTCAGCGAAGTCAACATCGGTAAAGGTAAACGGCATGACGCTGGTACCAATAGCAGTGTGATCAGCAATGGCCACTTTGACAAGGCTCATGTTGAATATGGGATCCGTATCTGTGAAAGGTTAATATACAATAAGTAAATGAAAAATAGGTAGGCACTAACATCCCAACATTTGATAAAATGAATAGGACTTACTGTCAACTGTCGCGTACGTAATGGCTGTGTATCTATATGTAGCCTGGGTATATGAACTCCATGTCTGTGTGCTCCCAACAGCTACTTCCGAAAATGACTTTGACCAGTAAGAATCAACGTTACAAGATTTCCAGGAAGGTTCTCCCGTGGTACATTTGTCGTTACTGAGGGAGGAACTGCATGACGTGTACGGAATCATATTGCTTGTGTTGCAATACCTATATGTGTTTGCAAAATGATTTAATGTCCATGAGTTGAATTCTGTAAATTGCATTTTTATTCACGACAACTTTATTTTAATGTAATTAATTACACAAGACAGTCTGCTTGCAAAAAGTTCATTAATATATTTTTTAAGTAAAGATTATATACAACAATAGCCATATTCGTGAATTTTCTCGCTCATAAATAACAAATATACATATCTCATGAAAGTAAGGTTTCGCGAAAAAAGGTTACCTACAGCTCTCCTACTAAAATGTTATATATATATATATATATATATATATATATATATATATATATATATATATATATATATATATATATATATATATATATATAACTTTATCAATTTTCTCTTATAAAACAGACAAGTAAGCAAGCAGAAACAAATTAAAATCAGGATCCAATACTACTTAAGCAACAGTATATACACAGGTACATCCCTGAATATGAGACGTTTTTTCAATGATTTTGTTTTGCTGTATGCGATTTTATAAATATCTCTGAATTCAATGTCATTTTCAAATGCCATCAAATAATATAAGATTAAAAATCAATTTAGTAGAGTTCATTGATTATGCTTGAATATTTGAAAATCTTTACCATCCAATGAAATAACCGTCGATTACTGCTATTCTGTCAGCTGTTGGTACCGAATGTCTATACACAGTGTTCACTACAGAAGCTAAATCACACAAAAATCTTCGGTATATCATATTAGGCATAAAACATGTTATTCAACAAAAGAATTCTATGCATGATCATATTCTCATTTTCTCATATATATGTATGTATGTATATATATATATATATATATATATATATATATATATATATATATATATATATATATATATATATATATATATATATATATATATATATAACATTTTTGAAGAAGTTTTCCCATTATATTACAAATATGATATTTTTATCCATATGCCCTGAAAAACTGCTGAATCACGCCGGATATAGTTATATTACACCGGAAACAGTTATATTGCCCTCCCGTTATATTCCCTCGCCTGCAGTCATTCTGCATATTAATTAAGTCGGGTTCGAAATTCACAGAGGCAGTTGCTAAGCAAACGTAAACAGTTCCGCGAAAATGAAAATGTCTGGACAACGTCTGCGTTTTTTTAATGTTCATTTAAATTCAGAGGAACTAGATAGTTTGATTGAGGAGAAATTTCCGTAAATACAACAAAATTTATAAACACAAATGTCAGCGTGCTGAAAACATTCTGCAATGAAACAAGACGGAATATTTCGGAATTATTTATAAAGCCTGTTAAAGGAAGAGAAATCGGCCTTCATAACTTTCAGCCGTCCCCCGTTATCATTTTAACAACAATAGTGTTAACTAGAGCGAGCTCGTTGCAAAGCAACGAATAGGTCTTCCGTTGGAGCTGCGGAAGGAAGAAGTGACCTTGAGTCAAGGTCATGCCACATTCTAAAGTTATACATGTAAGCAATCTTGTAAGGGGAAGCAACTTACAATATTTCGCTAGGAAAAACTGTAAAGGAATGTACGTGACCTTGAACATTCCAAATGCCTTGCGTCAAACCATGACACACTGTAGTCATAAAACCCAATCTGTGTGCTACCGACTTGAAAAGTTCACAGTGACACGTCATGTTCTTTTAGTCCATACATACAGTCAAAACCTCTTATCCTTAGTGACCTTGAACTTGAGTCAAGGCCATGTCACACTCTGCATGATACCAGCAATGTTTCACTAGTACAAATACGGTAGTGAAATTACAGTTTCTCTGTCAGTGACCTTGACTCGACCAAATGACCTTGCATCAAGACCATAACACACACTGGTTAAAAGCAATCCCAGTCTGTGATTTTCTGAACGGATAAGTTCAGCCATGTTTTTTCAGATCATACAGCGAGTCGGAATAATTTGTTAGGTTCAACATAATGATTAAAAAATTCATTGAGAATGTTTTATGCCCAGTTTGGATAAGTAGTAAAACGTGGAGAGCGATCCTTTGGATGAGACCGGTGCTTGTGGACAGGACCACCCCCCCCCCCCCCCCCCAATATACACCCCGGGGTCCAAGAATATTTTTATTCGTCTTTTTCCATAAATTAATCTTCTAGTACACATTTACAATGTATTCCATATGAAAAATCCATAAAAATAACGTAGAATTAACGTTTTATTAAAAAACCATACCCGCGGTATAATGAAATAGAGAAGGTAAGTCACTTCCATTTGTTAACACTGGACCCCTCTTGGATATCGGGCCTAAAATATCATATACATGTACCTACCACATGTCACCAAAATATGTTATTATATCTTGTTTCATCGTCGCAAGCCACGGGTTTTGTGTCCATTCTATTTCCACAAACCCGTGGCTGCCTCCTTCAAATTTCTCTCGTTCTCATGAATATTAATAACATACATTCAACCAATGGAATAACATCTGACGCTTCAAGTCAGAACCAATGAAAATGATCAGTCTATCTTGTATTTGGATGTAACCATAACCACGAGCTGTACATCAACTTCGGTTCGAATTTCCTTTCTTAACGAGTAACGCTATTCAGCGTTCTCACACAACGTCTACATTCGAAACCCTGTATTTTAATGTAAAACCTTGTAAGTATTTTAGAATATACGTTACTCACATCTGTTCTTCAGGATCTATCGTATTTTTTTTCAATAAATCTGCCACTCATATCAAACATGATTTCATTATGGGCGCCGCCATTTAAGCGTACCAAAAATTGCTACAGAGTGATTTCATTGGTCAGGGTAAATCTGGTGTCACTTAATAAATATTCAATGATTCAGTCGCGAGAACGAGAGAATTTGGTATGAGGCAGCCACGGGTTTGTGGAAATAGAATGGACACAAAACCCGTGGCTTGCGACGATGATCTTGTTTCGGTATATATTTTTGTCTTTAATCGTGCTATTTAAACGGAAGACCTTAAATAGTGTCTGTGGCTGTCACTATTTCTGTGTTTTTCAGAAACTTGATCGTAGAATTAGTCAAAGTCCACAACTGGACAATAAACTGATAAATCGGCTACAGTATATTATCTGTTCACAGAAACGACATATTGAAACTGGAAAAAAAAATAATCCAGAAGCAATTCATTTCATTGATATTCTATCATGAATATTTTGTTTTAATCGATGGACTCGATAAATCAATAAACTGACCGAAGGAAAAACGTTGCACGTGCCGTAACATTCTGTACGTTTTTTTTTATTTTACATTCTAATTGCATAATACATGCACATGTACATGTACATATATATTAAACAGAAACATAAATACCAAGCCCGTCGGCATTTAAAAAAAAAGTAATAAAACATAATTTGATTTGATCTATTTTATTTCATTTAAACTCTATTAATTTGTTTTAAAAGTATGATTGATCTTTTTCCTTTTAACATACACTCAGGGTAAAAAAAAGTATATATTGACTAGCGTAAATTTCATGGTTGTAGTTACATTTGAAAATGAAGAAATAATGAAATAATGAAACGTTGAAGGGACTGGTGTGTTGTATGGCTAGACAACGCCTTGCACATGCAGAGAAATTTACCACAGGTACTCTAGGACAGGTGTGAAACTCCTAGGGCATGCCGTTTCCTGCTCTTGCTCTGCTAATCCCTATACACAGGAAATGATCGCGACTAATACTTAATACACAAAGAAACAGAATATATTCAAGTAAACTTGGCATTGATTTTTTTCTTGAGTATTATTGAGAATAATAAGTTTTAGTGATATACCCCCCCCCCCCCCCGTTTTAATTGTTTTGTGAAGTTCATCACCATGCACATTCCATCTTCTGTAATTGGAGAAATGTTTAAATTAAAAACAAACCACTGTTTACAAAAGAAGTAAATATCGAGGGGAAAAAATTGTTATATTTTATTGATATCTTTTATAACGTTCACGCGCCCACTCACTGCAAACGCTCACCATCGAATATTACAGCTTTCCGGTCATTCGACAATTTCAGGGAAATGCTTGCACATTAATACAGTAAAGTGAAATTATTTAAATGAATTATATTGTTCTAAATTTGGTAAAAAAAAAAAAAAAAACATGAACAGTATATAGATATATTTTTTTCCTCATAGGAATGCTGAAAACTGTTAATCGGAACTCGCACTGACTATTGTTTAGCACGTGTATGTAACATTGCAGTTCGCATATAATTTGAAAAGAGAAGTTATTAGAACTTATATTTCCGACATTAAAATTTGTCACGTTAAACTCTCAAATGACTCAGCTTATAAATAGTTTTCTTGATACTATTTAAAAAAAGATGTCGCTTTAGTATTGATATATAACTTAACAAAATTAATAATAATAAATAAAATAAAGGGAAAAAAAATGATTAAATGTATTCTGCCTTACAATTTTTTTTTTTCATTCATTATTTTCACCTTTTGCGAATTAAAAGAAAATACTTTCATAAATATACATACACTACGGGATTTTAATTTGTTTTTTTTTTTTGGAGGGAATTTCGCAAAATTCCTGTTCGGGGAGATAACTCCCGTTTGTTTACGATACTAGTTGATCGATGATTTAACCGCGGCGGGGACAGGTAGGTGATGAATTTCCCGCGGAGGGAACGCGGTTTACCTGTCTCACCTGGCTAAATCCCGCGTTGTGTTTATACCGCGACGGGGCGCGGGAAATACGGGATCCGCGTTGCCTGCATGTATAGTCAATCAGATTAGAAATACAGCGACTATCAGAATTTCGGGCCGTAAAAAAGATCTGATTTTGATTAGATTTCAGGTGTAGGCGAATGTGTGTGTACTGAGGGGTTAATTAATTCATTCAAGATTTATTATATTGTTCGTTTGGACGAAGGCTTCATAAAAATATACACACTGCTTGTACAGGTACACATCAATGAATGTTCAGATTAATTCAAAAATCGGCGGACATTAATTTAATTTAGTTATCTAAAGGCAATGTTATTTCCAGAGACATTTATATTTTCTGTTTTTTGTCTCGGATATTTTCTTTTTTGTGATTTACGGGTTTACAAAGGTCTGTGTTTTAACAGCTGTTCATAAACGCTGTTAATGAAGAGTTAACAAAGATGGCGTCTAGTATTGACATTTAGTTTCGATCAGGAGGAAAAAACGGGGGTATGTCTTAATTCTTTGTGTGAAATTTGATAATTCACAGATGCAACACTTCATTAAGTTGTTTTTGATGAAATGATATAAAAAATATTCAGTAAAAACTCCATTGATAAAGTTTAAAACCAAAACATTCTGTGCTGTTGTGTGAGATGAACTCATGTCATGTCAAGTTCCAACAACAGTAGTTATAACAAGAAATCCAAAAAATCCAAGAGAAAGCTTACCAGCCCATCAGAAAACCAAAACAAAACATCTCGCAGAAGGTTTTTGTCTGCATCCCTCCCAGATCTAAATTCAGCAAATTCTTCTGGCACCCAGGGCAATATATGGACAGTTTGGAAGCCAATCCTGAATCCTCTGTATGTTCAAATTCTTTGACTAATGCACCTATATGTGCATCTGAAAGTGCTTCTGTTAGTGCTAGCCAACCAGAATTTTATTCTACAACCACAGAGCCCAGTCCCAGTCCCATTGCCCAAACCCCCCTTATACAATCTGAGGGGCAAACATACAGTCTACCAGGTCTTATATATTCAGCT